CAGGCAATCAACGCGCGTTAGCGATTTCATTTTACGAGCGTCCCCCGTCGTTCGACGGTACACCAGCAAAACGAATAAGGGATGTTATAACATCGGGATATCAATTCTGTCGTAAGTAATGACACAATCGTAGCCAGTCGGTCGGATGTCGTTTTTAAGTGTGGGTGGAAGGTGATGGTGACGATCCATGGTCCGGCTTCGTTCTCCAACTCGTTGTTTATCAAGCTCCCCTTCGCATAACAAGCATCAAAACATTTGGCGCCCCACGCTGGAGCCGGCGTAGTCATCTTCCGCCCCAATGGTCGCTCCTACTTTTCGTGGATACGCGGGGGTAGGCGCTGGCATGGGTTAAAACATGGGTACAGGGTGGGAGGATCCCTATACTCACAGGCGCCGGTCTCTATCCACCGAAAAAATGAGTTATCGTCCTGGATCCAGAGGCACGGGGACCCGATCGTTCGAATCACTGTGGGAATCGACGCTGAAATGTTTGTAACGTTTAACCCAGGGGTGCACAACCTTCCTCCTTAATAGGTCAAATAAAATAAAATAACATAAATTAACGTCTTCTGATCTTTCACTCATTTAAATTGCACTATATATTTCTGACTTTGTAAAAACGAGTTCAACGACCCACCATACAATGATTTTTAAACGACTTTGAGGCAACTCGTTTTCAGTGTTGTTTCCTTCCGACTGAATTTTTGGAAAACGGACGCGGGAAGAAAGGTACACGGTGCCCTGAGATATTTTGCTAGAAATACGCGTAGAGCATTGCAAACAAAATTTGAAAATAAATGGATCGGACGAAGCGGTCCTGTTCCGCCTCGATCGCCGGATTTAACGTCGCTGGATTCCATTTTATGGGGGTTACGTAAAACATAAAGCGGTGGCTACTACTCCTGGAACAATGGAAGACATGAAAATAAAAATACAAATTGCCCGGAACGTCGGTTACTCCTTCGACAGCCCCCCCGGCTGGGGTCTTTTTTTAATTCCGACGATTCGTATATTATTTATAAATCATGAAATCCTGACATCCTCTTATAGACCTGTTTAGTACGCAACGTGTCGTGCCGAAAATCTTTGATAAAATCACGCCTTTCGAAACAACCTTACCACGTGAAAAGAAGGGAAGGGAAAAATTGGAGAAAAATAAAAATGTCCCGCGAGAACGCAATCAATGCCCCTGACGACGCTTCGAGTGTTTCGGATGGAGGATCCGTTCCGAGGTAAATAGATTTCGGAAACACTTCTCCCGATTGGACGGACGTTACAAGAGGTCCCGCGAAACGATAAAACCGAACGGCGTGCTCCAGGAACAAACGTCTTATGATCAATCGTGGAACGCGGTTGGTTTTGTAACGACGGGGTGGCGTAGGATGCAGGGAGACGCGCTGGCACCGAAGCCACCGTTGGATCGGGATTCATAATTATTCCTGGACAAAACATGACGCTATTGACGTATCCAGGATCGGGAATTTTAGCTGACAGTACCAAAGCAAACGTGTATTGGTGCACGGGGGGAGAACAGGAGGGGGGGGGGAGGTTAGGGGCAGGGCGCCCTCCGGCTTGGCGACCGACGAGCAACGTCCCACTCCCGTCGTGACGGTGCCACGATGCCAACAGAAGAAGTAAACTTGCATTGGTCGACGTCGCGGTCGTCGACGACGTTGTCGTCTTCGTCGTGTCGTCGGTCGCCCGGCGGCGGCGACAGTGTCGGCGACGCTCCACGGTTGGCGTCGAGGTTAGCGCCGGCCGGTCGCTGGAATCGGCGCCCGGCTGTCTCTGTCTCCCTTTCCGTCTCACTCTATGTTCCGTCGTCCGTCTGCACGAGAGAGCGGCCCGTCGTTTCGTCGTCGTCCGCTCGACGGCGACGACATGGCTCTGCCGGCTGTCGCCGACGCCATCCGCCGCTTCTGCGCCACCCCTGTTTCCCTTCCTCCCTTTTTTTCCTCCTCCCCTCGCGTCGCTCTGTCGATATATTCCACGACGATGTGTTTAGATAATAAAACTCTGCTCTTTGAAAAAAATTCCCAGTCTACCGGTGCCGCCCCCTTCGCTACCCCCTTGTTTGTCGATCTGGAAAATATTGGCTCGGGATTATCTTCCAGGGCCGTCCCCCTCCTCCCCCTCGCGGTGTGCTTTCACGCGCCGCACGCGTTAAACACGCATTCAACTCACCGATACAGGTGAACGGCGGGGCAACGGAGACTCGCGCCGGAATGCGAAATACCGGTATTTCACCGTTATTTTTCGGTTATACTTTCGTAACTCTTATAGAAATCGATATACGATACGTTTACCGGTAATCTTTCGGGTTTAAGCGGAGACCCGAAACCCGGGACTACGCGAACGAGATGCAAAGACGCCATTTTACGAGGACGGATACGATGCTCCTTCGGTTGTTGATCAACACATTCCAACGCGTCAATGTTAGGGCAAGAAGCGAAGAGAATATGGTTACTGTTAGGGAAAGTGTCGCTGGGAATCCAAATTTATCGATTCCACGACGTTCTCAAGAATTAGGCATTCCTCCGACCTCCGTGTGACGAATTCTGCATAAAAACTTGGGTCTTCCTCGTTAGAAGGTCTAATTAAGAATCGAAGCGGCCCGAGTTCGCTGATTATCATTCGTTAGGTACAGCCTAGTTTATGCGCCGGAGTCATTGAAAATTATTCGCTCTACCAAAACGATATTTAAATAATATTTCATCGAAGAACGCTAGATCATCGTTTGTATTTTCATCTCGTTTCGATTCAGAGCGGCTAGAGTTTACTCTGCTTGGATACTTTTCAATATCCATTCCCCGAATGGTTTTGCCGTCAGCGTTCTCCCGGGTAGGACAGGCTTTCTCGGTAATTATATTCCCAGGTTCTCGTCGCCGAATCAGAAATTATTGCGCGGGCTACGGTCGCCGCGAAGGAACGATTGAAAGAAAAGCTCTGCCAAACGACGAGGCGAGCCGAGCCAGCGAAAGTTTCGCTCTATTGCTCTCGCGTCGGCCGGTCCTTCTCGCCGAAGAAGAGCCCTGGCGTCCGAAACTGCTTCGTCCCGACGCCGCTGCTGGCGGCTCCTATGCGTCCGTTCTCTCTGATCTCTTTCCTCATCTTCCCCTCGCCGGCGCACCAGTCTCGGTCCGTCCCGGCGTCCCTTAACTCAGACCATTATCCGTATACCACGATTATAGGGCAACGGGACCGACAAACAGGCTTGGGCCAGATCCCCTGGCACCCTCTTCTCAACCATCCTCCCCCCTTCCCTCTCCCTTTCCCTCTGGCTCATCGTCCCCGGTCACCCCATACCGAGCGCTCACCGTCGTCGCCGGCTACGCAAACAAACCCGTGCATCGGCTAACATAACTTAACAATCTTCCACTGGTTCCCTTTTCCTCCACTCCTCGTCATACTTCTGCCCCCTTCCCCCCCTCCGCGCCGTCGTCCAGTTGTTCCTACAACTGATTGCACCGCGATGCACCGGTCTGCCACCCAGTATCGGCCGGCATCGCTGCACGCTCGCCTTCGGGGCTCCTCGTTTTCGCCTTTCCCAGAAAACGACGCCACGCATTACTGGAACGATACTTCTCGCAAATTATTGTGCTCTTGCCGGTAGTTCTTGATAATTGTTTTACGGACGGAGTTTATGGCCGAACCGTGTAAAGAACCGGTTCCCCGGTCGGGTCATTCCACGCCAAATCGATCACCTTTTGCGCTCCGTGTCAAGGATTCCATAGGAATTGTTGGACGACCAGCTTTCTTACCATCGTATATCATATTCGTCCTAGCAGTTCGTTTCTTGCGTAGCAAAATTTTTCGTCGCCTTGTAAAAATCCAAAAAATTGCGAGGGTATTTCTTGCAGCCTCCTCTACAAAATAATGTTGTTCTTAGGGTGGGCGTTTTCATGTTTGACATTATAATGAGCTGTTAAATGCCGTGTCCAGCCTCCACGGGCAACAAACCATACCCCTTTCACGTTATATTTCAATGAACCTCCGTTAACGCGTCCAAATTTGATCGTGTTCCCTTGCAGTTTGAAGTTTTGATGTTAATTACACGATAAGTGTCTCTTTCAAAAGTCAGACAGATAGGTATTTTTTTTTATTTACGATTACATCTTTTTCCGACGAGTTCTTAAATCGTTTAAGAAGTTACCATTCTGTAGACATACGATTATACTGCTACAATCCGTATATTAAAAATTGTTTCATTTTCGTTTTGAATTATACTTAATATGTGCATGTAAAATAAACGTTGGACTGTGATGAAAATTGGCGCGTCAGCCATTATAGTCCGCCATCTTGTATCTGCCACTAAGTCAAATGTATCATTTAATTCTAAATTAATACTAAATTTCAAATTTCAATAATCGCGGATAATGTACTCATTTAGAACACTGTGTGTTGAGTTTATCAAGCGAATAAATTGTTCTGAACAAGTTTATGCACTTCGTTTCATTAAATAATAATTTTACGAAAATCATGATGCATTCTGCTCAAAATAACAATTATAGTTTTCTAATTAAATCGAATTCTATCAACTAAATAAAGAAAAACGAATGTGACCTAGAAAGAATCGTGTCTTCTAAGTTTAATTACTAACCAGCATCTACACTATTCCAATGAAACCAGTTTTAGAAACCGACCAAACGTTGCATTCTACGAGATAAATTTCGCAGATTACGGTCACCAGATCGCGTTAATATCCAACGAGTTATCCTGTAAGAAAGAACGCTGTGCACAGCAGGTGCAGGGCAGATAACATACCTTACGCGACACCAGTCGATAAAGAAACTCGACGTTGTCTGCAAAAAGTAATATCGACGGAAACTTAACCTCTTCGTCGCGAAGCGACGACGATCAAATCGTATTGAAATAAATGTAAAGAACGCGTAACGCTAATTAGAGGAAATTTCGTCGTTCCATTAATCAGCCTTACGCAACGAACGGCGATTATATTATTATAAACAACGATAAGATTAGTTTTATCCCGTTTATCCACATTACGTCGTAATGTAACGTGAAACAGCGCGTAACGATGCCTTGGGTCGTGTTGAGGGTAACCGTAGGCTACGTACGGACTAGATCGTTTGTACATTAGTTTCTCGACTATCAAAGCGATACCGGTCGCACGGTGAAGTGTTCGCTTATTCGTATCTGTTTGTTCCATTGTAAGTTTAATAACGTGCTCGTACCTCGATTTCGTCGCATTGCGTGTCGATCTGCGGTCAAAACATGAGTGCAACTTCGAACGCGACATACTTAGGGCTCGATCTCAGCACGCAGCAGGTAAATCCCTATAAACCTCATAACCTCGCGAACCGTTCTTCGTCGCGCGTCGGACGTCTCTATCTAACGAATAATCCTTGACGCGAGACGCACTTTCTCCTCGGACAAAAACGCTTATCGTCGACGCGAGCCATGGATGACAATCTAGCGCATTCGTGGTTCATTTCTCTCGTTCCTCTTTCCTCCCGCCATTTGTTCCTATTTCCGACTTCTTTCCCTCGCTTTTCCAACTTCACTGACCACGCGAAAAGCAATCGGTGTTGTCGTACAGTAGTAACCAACAGGAAGTCGACATTAGTTGCTTCTAAGCGTAGTTTATTCCTTCGTATTTTAACGATGCGTGTACTGGTTGCTACCGCGCATCGTCGTTCGCGCAGGCACTCGATACCGCGCGTCTTTTTAACTTACGAAAATCGCCTATTACGTAGGAACGTTCGTTAATAGACAATATTGGAATTAATTGCTATAGTAATTATGCAAAATTTTTGTTGATTTTTATGACTATAGTAATCACAATCGAATAAAATTAATAAGATGCTAAAAATCAATTTATGAAAATAATTGTCGTTTCTTCTTTTTTTCGATCTTTTGTTTTGAATACATTTCACATATTTCCTATAAGTCCGACCATACTACATCCCATATTTGATAATATTAATCTAATTTTGTATCAAAATAACCACATTGCAGGGTTTGCTTTAGATCATCTTTAGAAAGCGCATTTCCATCGATCGAAACAAGTGTATTTCGAAGTGTGTGACGTGCACGCGCCGGGTCACAATTATCTAATGCGACGATAACATTAAATGACGAAACGGTACACAAGGGAAAAGTGTGTCTGTTCGAAGAGAAAAAGATACGAAATGCTAGAGATGCTCGAAAAGAGATAATTGAAATTGCAAAATGCTTCATTACATAATTAAAATTACGAAACTTTCGAACTCGCGTTGAACACAAAAAACAAAGAGGGGAAAAAAGGAAAATAATCGCGAACACGTTATCAACTTAATCGATTCTCATCAAACACGAGCTTTATCCGGTCATTAATTCCGATGAATAGAGCGTACAGTGAGTGCACAAAGTATTCGTAGAATGAATAATTTCAGAAGAAACTTCATATAGCTCCGCGTTTGATTAAATTTTCATAACACAATTTGCATATATTTTTAAGAATGTCTATTTTTTGAATGTCAAACTTTCTGCAATAATCAAGGTTCTATTGTATATTTAGAAACTTATTCGTAAAAGACGCAAATAGACAGTACTTAAAATATGTAAAAATTGTTTAACTTATAGAAATCTATTAATAAAGGAAGCTATACAAAACATTCTTTGAAATTATTCGTTCTATAAATACTTTTTACACTTATTGTAATTCGCCCGTTAATCGCGAAAAATAGTATTGCATAACACAATTACGAGCGTCGAAATATTTTACACCTCCTGTTCGATCAAACGTAATCGACTGCATATTAAGCAGCACGTGTAGAACTACATGTTTGCCATTGCGAGACAGTTGTTTGCATATTCATTCGATCGAAGCACGAAAATAGTGTTTTGAATTTAAAATTCTGGATTAAATTTAGAATACATAGCAGGTAGTGTAAACTAATTGATCAATCCGCGTGGATTTGTTTCTCCTTTCGAGGGACCTTGTTGCACATAATTTATTCGATTCGTGAATAACAAATCGCGGATAATTCGTAATATGAATTTAACGAAGGAAACAGTGATTAACAAATATTTTTGGCCGTTATAGTTGAAAGCTGTAGTCGTCGATAACGATCTCGCTGTTCTCTGCGAAGCTAGCGTACAATTCGATAATGATCTGCCAGAATTTAGGTATGTTATTTATCACTATTATATTTATTATATTTACCCATGCAGCACGGAATATTGCAAAAATATTGCAGTAAAATTCGACAAATCTTTCATTCGACCACTGATCAACTGACAATTAATAATTGTTATTACGTTACAGTATTTGTTGACTAAATTGGAATAAGTGTTTGTAAAATAAAAAAATCCATTGATAAAACGTGTCGATTGAATCATTTTTAGAACGTATGGAGGGGTCATTCAAAAGAAAGAAGAGCCGCACGTGGCGGTAGCTCCCACTTTGATGTGGGTGAAGGCTTTGGAAATGATACTTGATAAATTGCGCGTTTGTGGCGTCGATTTTAGCAAAGTGGCCGCTATTTCTGGATGCGCACAGGTAAAAAACTAACTCAACATTGAAACTGCAGCACACTAGAAGCACTATCAACTTTAAATACAGTAAAACCGGACGAAAGTTTCGCAACGCTCGACCCTTACAAACACAAAAATTTAGCTCAGTTTTAAACAATCCGACGATAATGTTATCTCTGTTCGTAATTACACAGCAACATGGCACAGTTTACTGGGGCAAGGGCAGCAGAAATCACTTGCAACAATTGAATCCCGGAAAGTTCTTGCACGAGCAACTCGTCACGTCGTTTTCGGTGACATCGTCACCTGTATGGATGGATTCCAGCACGACCAAGGAGTGCAATATCTTGGAAGAGATAGTGGGTGGTCCTCAAGTAAGTACAATTACCATGAAACGATAATAACATTAGAGGAAACGCGGCATATTTGAAGCATCAGTTTGTTTAAGACGAATAAAAAATTACGTAAGCGGATGATAATGAATAAAATTGCACAATGTAAACAAAAATTATTCGAAACTTTCTACGGGAGAAAATTAACTTGACGATATAATTTCGATGCTTATTGCAGCGCTGCAATCGATCAAGGACACTTAAACGATAACAAAAGTTCATAGAAACATGTTTGATCTTGTTCTCGAGTAATAACTATTTTTACTCCGACAATTCCAAGTCACAGACTAAACTGGTATAACTGATTTTGCTAAACTGTTTGTATACAATGTTCGATAACTCCTAGTTTTACTTAATAGAAGATTAACAGGTCAATTCTGTGTCAATTTGTTGAGTAATCAATTGCGTGAATTATTGAAAGAAATTCCATTAGATGTCGCATGTGATTTCTAGATGACGTTGCATCGTGCCATTTTAGCCTAGTAGCTAGATCAACAATGCACAAAGTCCAGCCCCCGTGGGCCAATAAGGCCCTTCCGTCTTGTATATCTAAACCGTGAAATAAAATTAAAAACAGATTTTAAAATCTACGCAAAAAATATGAAGGTGCAATTCGTAGTACGAGATAATCGTCCTCTCGTTCCCAGAAAGTCAATCGAGTTCCAAAAATAGAGCTTAATCTTTTCTGCATCTTTAATCAGAAATTAAAAAACAAAAAATACATGCCCATACTTTGGGAACGTTCAAATACAGCGTTTATGAATATTCATCGAAACCGGGGAGTTGATTTGCAATTCACATTCGTTGCAAACCTGATCCACGATTTCCTCTATTGAGTTATCCTTGATCGCGTCGGGACGAAACGTTTTTTAACGCGCATTGACGGCTGGAATGGTAGCCGAAGAAATGGTGAAAGAGTACCGTTTCGTTACCTACTCGGTATTTTTAGACTCCTCGGTTTCGTTGGACGAACGTCTAGACGCGCTCGCGTACTCCTGACCTTTGCACGGTTAATCGAATATTTCATTGATTTTATTGCTCGCGATCGACGATAAAGTTGCTCGCGATCGGTGCCCAAAAAATGGTCACCGTGGCTTCGTGTCTCGACGGTGTCGTGTAATATTGCGAATTACAGCCGCGAAATTGCGAAAACCGTCAGGCTGATTCATAATTAATTAATATGCTGATCGATCGGGCGATTATTTGAAATCATGGTCGCCTCAACGATTTGGATGATATCGAAATATGATGCAGATATCGATATTCTAAATAAATTTTTATTCTGTTCGTACATTTTAAATATGAAACTAACTTATCTGTCTCCTTTTCACGCGTATACTAGTAATCAGAGTCAAGAAATAGTGGTTCTCACGTACAATTCAAGGACCAAGGACAGTTATACATATTTACATGATAGAAACTATATTTTCATTGAAGTTTTTGGGAATAACATATACAGGGTGTTTGGTTACCTCTGGGAAAAATTTTAATGGGAGATTCTAGAGGCAAAAATAAGACGAAAATCAATAGTACTAATTTATTAATGGAGGCTTCGTTAAAAAGTTATTAACAATTAAATTCAAAAATTTCAAATCGTTTTGGAAAAATTATTTTCGATTGCGGGGGTTAATTACAATCATTTTTGGTGGATAGACATACCCTCGAAATCCTACCCACTCTCTAGAAAAAAATTCGAGAAGGTATGAAATTTTTCGACAAAATTGAAAAGTTTCAAATCGTTCTAAAAAAATTATTTTTAGTTGCTGGGGTCAATGACAATCATTTTTAGTCAATAAACATATCCCCAAAATCCTAACAATTTTCGAGAAAAAAATTCGAGAATGTATGAAATTTTTCGACAAAATTAAAAAATTTCAAATAATTTTGAAAAAATTATTTTCAGTTGCGGGGGACAATTACAATCATTTTTGGTAAATGGACATACCCCCGAAATCTTGTGCATTTTCGAGAAAAAAATTCAGTACGGGCGGAACTTTAAACGTTAATAACTTTTTAACAAAGCCACCATCAACAAATTGATATTCTTGATTTTCGTCTTACTTTGACCTCTAGAATCTCCCATTAAAATTTTTTTCGGGTTTAGCCGAACACCCTGTATGTATACATGAATTTTAATAACTGCACTAGAGCACTTGGTTACTTGTGGACGCATATAAACGTTCCTCTTCATATTAACGAACGGATTCCTTAATGTTTTTAACCGTCTAAGTTCTAAATTTCTTTTTTAGATAAAAAATATTCATGGAATTGTAAACTACAGCAATCGCATTACATTAATTATTATGTTTTAAAGACGTACGATGACTAAAAGTTAATTTTATGTTTGTATTGTTTTGGCTTTAAGAAGAACATACTTTGTGTAGCTCAAGTTATTTGGAATTAAATATTAAATTAGTCGTGGGGCTCGTGCTACATAGAAACCACTAAATTATTAGTTAACTTAAAATACATATTCAACTCTTAGAAAAAGAAACGAGAACAAAGTATTTATCTGAATTTCTATTCGATTCTAAGGCTAGTGTTCCCAAGATAGCTTGTCATATTTAAAGAAAAAGTATTCCAATTTCCTCAGCTTTATATTTGTTAAATTTAACAAATTTTAGAAATAAATTTTTCAATTTTGATATCTTAATACTAAATATACAGGGTGTTCGGCTACCTCTGGGAAAAATTTTAATGGGAGATTCTAGAGGCCAAAATAAGACGAAAATCAAGAATACCAATTTCTTGATAGAGGCTTCGTTTAAAAGTTATTAACGTTTAAAGTCCCGCCTGTAGAACGACAATCTGCGAACAGCGCAGTTTAACAGCATTAAACGTTAATAACTTTTTAACGAAGCCTCAATCAACAAATTAGTATTCTTGATTTTCGTCTTATTTTGGTCTCTAGAATCTCCCATTTAAATTTTTTCCAGGAGTGGCCGAACACCCTGTATAGGGAAAAGTTGAGAATATTGATATCTACAATTGCAATATCATTCGAATCGGTGTGGCGGCCATGATTCCGAATAATTACCATTACCATTATTCTAACGAGACGCGGTTGAATGTGGTTACAGAAATTAGCGGAGATAACGGGATCTCGGGCGTACGAAAGATTCTCAGGACCTCAGATAGCGAAAATAGCACGCAGGAGGTCTGAAGCCTACAGTAACACTGAGGTATATCTACTAAAACACTCCCGGCTTCATTGAAAAAAAAGAGAACGGCCATCGCTCGAGGTATTCGACATCTGTAGATCTGTTGGTTGAGATATATGAACCTTTTTTGTGTGGCTTGTGACGATAATTATTTTAACGCGAGGGATGAAATTAACGCGCGCGTTGAAACTAGTGGCTCGTTTGAAATTTTGCATTCCAGGAATTAGGCCAAATTGATGGGGACGAGATTTTCTAGAAGCACACCCTGCAAAGCAAACGCCATGTACAAGTAATTATACATAACAAAATATGAATAAACGATTTTTAGAATAAAAACGATACCTTCCTTGGATATACGACATCAAACGAGCCACGTAATTACGTTTCTCGGAGACTATTGTATTTACAGAAGTATCTAATAACATTATACGCGGGCATGTGGCTGTATTTTCATCACTAATACGCATCCTCTGCTACAAAGTGTTTGGAAACGAGCCTATTGTCACTTATTAATGTGCTTTTACATCGTTTTCAGAGAATCTCTTTGATTAGCAGTTTTCTTGCTTCCCTGTTCATTGGCGACTTCGCACCTATCGATTATTCCGATGGATCCGGAATGAATTTGTTAAATATTCATACGAAAGATTGGGACGATGTGCTATTAGAGGTACAATTTTCAATTTCACCGAAAAATTGTTACTGTGCTGCAGTTTGTTAAAACAAATTAAAGAATAACACGAAAAGAAGCTAAATAAACAAATAAGAGGAAGATAGTAAAATATATTATACAGGATGTCAACCGTGGGAAAAATTTTAATGGGGAAGTCTAGAGGCCCAAATAAGACGAAAATCAAGAATACCAACTTGTTGGTGGAGGCTTCGTTAAAAAGTTATTAACAATTAAATTAAAAAATTTCAAATCGTTCTGGAAAAATTATTTTCGGTTGCGGGGGTCAATTACAATCATTTTTTGTGAATACACATACCTCCGCAATCTTATCCACTTTCGAGAAAAAATTCGAGTAGCTGTTGAAATTTTTCGGCAAAAAAAAAAATTTGTCAAATCGTTCTAAAAAAATTATTTTCGGTTGCGGGGATCAATTACAATCATTTTTGGTCATTTCACATACCCACGAAATCCTATGCATTTTCGAGAAAAAAATTCCTTACCGAAAATCTAATTAGGTGCCTTTTTTCGACAAAAAAAATAAATTTCAAATCGTTCTGGAAAAATCATTTTCGGTTGCGGGGGTTAATTAAAATCATATTTGGTGAATAGACATACCTTCGAAATCCTACCCACTTTCTAGAAAAAAATTCGAGAATGTGTGAAATTTTTCGACAAAATTGAAAAAATTTCAAATCGTTCTGGAAAAATTATTTTCGGTTGTGGGGGTCAATTACAATCATATTTGGTGAATAGACATACCCCCGAAATCCTGCGCATTTTCGAGAAAAAAATTCATGACGGGCGCAGCTTTAAACGTTAATAACTTTTTAACGAAGCCTCTATCAACAAATTGTCATTCTTGATTTTCGTCTTATTTTGACCTCCACAATCTCCCATTAAAATTTTTCCCACGGTTGACCGAACACCCTGTATAATTGCAATAATTTTAAGTAAAAATTACTGCGGGATGTGAACCGTTCTGCGAAATTTTGTTGGTACTTACTCGTGGTTTGCTATTTGTTCAGACATGCGGCCCGAATCTAAGAGAGAAATTAGGTAAACCCGTTCCTTCGTATAGCGACGTCGGGCCAATTTCATCCTATTTCGTGGAAAGATTCTGCTTCGACGAGTCATGCAGGATAATTGCATTCACAGGAGACAATGCAGGTTCTCTAATAGGTAAGCGTTACTGGATAACACGCTAATCTTACATCTGAAACCATTCTTCACCGTTAAATAATTCCACTGTTCGCTTCACAACGCAACAGGAATGAGGTTGAAAGAAGGAGACATCGCCTGCAGTTTAGGAACGAGCGATACTTTGTTTTTGTCGCTGAACAAACCGAAAACTGTCTTGGAAGGTCATGTCTTTTGCAACCCCCTCGACGATAAAGCTTACATGGCACTGCTTTGGTAGGTCAAAATCGAATTTGAATCATTTTATTCGCACTTTGCGGTTCGTTGACATTAAGGAATCACCCGAGGAAGTTAAAGATAAATTATTAAATTAAATAAACTTTCGAATGAATTTAATAATTTTTTTCATCATCGTTAAAATGATATAAAATTACAAACCAAATTTTTTTTTACAACTTCCCGAAACTGTATTGTAACTGAATTAATATCAGTGCTTTTTAAATGTCAAGCTTTAACTTTCAGTTTTAAGACGTCACTTGTCTTTTTTGATTATGGCAATTTTTAGCTTCAAAAATGGATCTCTAACTCGCGAAAGAATACGCGACAGCGCGGCACAGGGCTCGTGGCAGATTTTTAACGAGTTACTGGACAGTACTCCACGTGGCAATTTTGGAAATTTAGGTTTATATTTTGACGCACAAGAAATTTTACCATTCGTCATCGGCGACCATAGATTCAACAAAGCCAACGACAAGATATCTCGGTACAGCTCGAAAGAGGTAGAAGTAAGAGCTCTGATCGAGGGTCAATTCGTTGCCAAAAGAGCCCACGCCGAGGATTTTGGTTTCGTTATTGGTGAGTGAAAAAGTATAACGTTTTGTAAAATTTTGTAATACAAGGTGTTCGACCAATCCTGGGAAAAATTTTTATGGGAGATTTTACAGGCCAAAATAGGACGAAAATCAAGAATACCTATTTGTTGATGAGGGCTTCGTTAAAAAGTTATTAACGTTTAAAGTTACGCCCGTACTGAATTTTTTTCTCGAAAATGCGCAGGATTTCGGGGGTATGTCTATTCACCAAAAATGATTGCAATTGATTCCCGCAACCAAAAATAATTTTTTTAGAACGATATGAATTTTTTCAATTTTGTCGAAAAATTTCATACCTTCTCGAATTTTTTTCTCGAAAATGGTTAGGATTTCCGAGGTATATCTATTGACTAAAAATGATTGTAATTGAACCTAGCATTCGAAAATAATTTTTCCAGAACTATTTGAAATTTTTTTTCCGCCGAAAAATTTAGGCACTGATTTTTCTTAAAACTTCGTTTTTCATTTTTAGCAATTTTGTTTGACGCTGTAGGGAAATTTTGTCTAATACTTTTTTGTAGGTACCCATGAGCCCTATTTTAGAAAAAAGTTTCATTGAAATATATTCACTATTGTAGGAGTTATGGACGTTTGAAAATTGAACCATTTTTATGGGGATTTTTTGATTTGACGGGGTTAAGGAATAAGTTTTCGAATATTTTTGGAATGTCTATATATTCTACAACAAAATATGCGTTGTTTGCATTTTGAAACTTTAAAATCCTCCAATCCGTTCAGAAGTTATGATGCTTCAAAGATTCACAAGAAATTTCGGGGAACCATTTCAGGTCTCAGATTATATTTTTGTTTAGGAATTTTTTTCTCAAAAGTGTGTAGGATTTCGGGGATATGTCTATTGACCAAAAATAATTATAATTGACCCCCGGAACCGAAAATAATTTTTTCAGAATGATTCGAAAATTTTTAATAACTTTTTAACGAAGCCTCAGTCGAGAAATTGATATTCTTGATTTTCGTTTTATTTTGGCCTCCAGAATCTCCGATTAAAATTTTTCCCAGGTGTGGCCGAACACCCTGTATAATTTCGCGATTGTAAAATATTAAAATATTTTTTGTTCGCTCAGTCGAGCAAATTTTATCCGCGAATAATGAATAAAAATGTTAAATTCATTCGTAAATTAACTTCCGTTTACGTTTTATTTGTAAATGATAAAATTCGATACGTTTAATTATTTTCCTACATTCAGTTTCATCCAGTTATTTCGATCTTCATATTTTAGGGACAAAAACTGATTGAAACATAACGTGTGCGACTGTAAGTGATACTTACTGTACGTAGTCTTCTGTAGAGTAACCTTCGAATTTGTTGATAAAATCCTGTCTGGAATCTAAAACGCAAACACACAAACATACAAACACAATGACACCTGCACAAAAAAAGAAACGTATACGCACTCTCTATGAAATACTGTTAAATAGACGAATATTCAGAAATCTAGGACGAAAGAGAACAAATAAGAATAATCATTCTTGTAGGAAAGAAAGTCACAGATGCCTGTAACGAATTTATATTTTCGATCAGTCCGTTACGACAGCCAAACAGTAACTGTCCTTCCCGACAATCAAAGGGCAAGCGTCTCACAAGGAACTTTGTACACTTATAAAGCAGCCAAAAATAATCGACACGTATTTTTTTTTAGCTGCGGTAACTCGAGTTTAAGGGGTGAAACCACCCCTTGAAGTTTTGGCTCGAAACGGCTATCTCGAAAACGGAAAGACATACAAAAAAATTGTTAATGGGCGAGGTTGATGGTTTCTTATGTACAATAACATGGTGTTAAAAAATTAAAAAAAATACAATTTGTTTATAACAAATAAAAATTTATTTACTTAATTTTTCATTTTATTGAAATTTTCATAATGACAAAAAATGACGAGCATTTTATTCCAAATCCATTGGTATGCGATTTTTTAAAATTGCCTCCTACAGTTTTGCAGATTTTGATGATTTACATCTTGCGCGCACATCCACTATGGTAGTAGCCGTTCTAACTTTGATTTTAATGAAGCAATGCAGGCTTGCACTACTTCTAGAGGACAAAATCGGGAAAAATACAAGAATACCAATTTGTTGATGGAGGCTTCGTTAAGAAATTATTAAAAAATTAAATTAAAAAATTTCAAATCCTCCAGGAAAAAATTATTTTCGGTTGCGGGGGCCAATTACAATCATTTTTGGTCAATACATATACCCACGAAATCCTACGCACTTTCGAGAAAAAAATTCCTAATCGAAAATGTAATTTATGGCCAGAAATGTTGTCCGAAAATTTCATGCGGATCTTTAAAATGTCATAACTTCTGAACGGATTGAAGGATTTTAATTTTCAAAAATGCAAACGACGCGTATTTTAATCAAGAATACGTAGAAATCGCAAAAATATGCAAAAAGTTGATCCTTGACCCTGCAAAATGAGAAAAACCCCATAAAAATGGTCCAATCTTCAAACAGCCATAATTCCTACAATAGTGAATATATTTCAATGAAACTTTTTTCTGAAGTAGAGCTCATATTGGCCAACTTTTTTGTAGGTCGTCAAACAAAATTATTAAAAATGAAAAACGAATTTTTAAGAAAAATCGACAGGGCGTAAGGTGCCTAAATTTTTCAGCGAAAAAAAAAAATTTCAAATCGTTCTAAAAAAATTATTTTCAGTTGCGGGAGTCAATTTCAATCATTTTTGGTCAATATATATACCCCCGAAATCCTACGCACTTTTGAGAAAAAAATTCGAGAATGTGTGAAATTTTTCAACAAAATTAAAAAATTTCAAACCATTCTGAAAAAATTATTTTCGGTTGCAGGGGTCGATTACAATCATTTTTGGTCATTACACATTCCCCCGAAATCGTGGGCATTTCGGAGAAAAAAATTCAGTACGGGCGGAACTTTAAACGTTAATAATTTCTTAACGAAGCCTCCATCAACAAATTGGCATTCTTGTATTTTTCCCGATTTTGTCCTCTAGAAGTAGTGCAAGCCTACAGTGCTTCATTAAAATCAAAGTTAGAACGGCTACTACCATAATGGATGTGCGCGCAAGATGTAAATCATCAAAATCTGCAAAACTGTAGGAGGCAATTTTAAAAAATCGCATACCAATGGATTTGGAATAAAATGCTCGTCATTTTTTGTCATTATGAAAATTTCAATAAAATGAAAAATTAAGTTAATAAATTTTTTTTTGTTATAAACAAATTGTATTTTTTTAAATTTTTTAACACCATGTTATTGTACATAAGAAACCATCAACCTCGCCCATTAACAATTTTTTTGTATGTCTCTCCGTTTTCGAGATAGCCGTTTCGAGCCAAAACTTCAAGGAGTGGTTTCACCCCTTAAACTCGAGTTACCGCAGCTAAAAAAAAATACGTGTCGATTATTTTTGGCTGCTTTATAAGTGTACAAAGTTTCATCAAAATCGAAGCCGGACCGTTCGCGATGGTTCCTTGTCAGTCGCTTTTGTTGTTCGCTGAACAGTCACGACCAAACACAGACGTTTTTGCATACCACGCGGTAGAATTAAGCATTAGACGAATAAATATTCTTATTCCCATCAAAATCTCTTGATTATAGTTAGAAAAATGATCCAGCTATAACTAGAAACACTGACATCATTTTCCACAATATCACCATTTACACACGAAAATGTTAAAAAATTTTAACCGTAACATTCTTAGCTACAAAAGTTTCTAAAATTATAATTTCGTAACTATCGATTATAGGTCCAAACACACGCATCATAGCAACAGGTGGTGCATCTGCAAATAAAGCCATACTACAAGTACTTTCCGACGTTTTCAATTCACCAGTGTACATATCGGTAATATGTCTTCTAATTTTACAATTAACATTATTCGTTACAAAATATTTTTTCGTCAAGCATTTAGGCTAATTTCCAGGTTATCGATTTTACTATCAGTACACATGTAAATTATTTATTTACACGTACCGTTGATTTTATTTTTAATCATGCATTGTTTGATAAAATCTTCTAAATAGAAACAGAAAAATTAATTTGTAATTACGTGTAACAGGAAATGGCTAATTCGGCCATGATAGGCGCAGCTTACCAAGCAAAACACGCTTTATTACGAAATGAAAGTAATTTTGATGAAATAACACGTTGCTTACCAGAACCAGCACTTGTATGCCGCCCTTACGATGATGCAGAATCAGTAAGTTAGGAAAACAAGATTTACATTAACAGACTATAAGATATGTTTTAACAAGACGTAGATAAATTATAGATATAAACTTTCGAGGTTAATAGAACTTATCAAACGAAACTAGCAAATCTTAATAAGTATTTAACTGTTAGTTTCGATATCTCGAAAGTTTACTTCCGGAAGTTTCTATTGTGTGACTACATGCATCATGTTACAACTTATTTTTCTGTTTTCTTTTAGATATACAAGTTAATGGTTACACGTTATCGAAAGATTGTTGAAGAAATTAAAAAAAAGACGAGTACAAACTGAAATACGTAAAGCTTATGTGTATCACACAAAACCGGTTAAATGAAGGGGCCTTTATATAGCATATTAGTAGATAATAGAAAAGCATTTTTTGCATTTAAAATATTTTTTAACTTAATAATAGCCACAGAATTCTATTCTGATTGCGTGATAGATTTTTGAATATTTTACAAAACATTTTTAGAAGCCTACTTTTAAAATTGAAATGCTGAAATTTCAATTAATTTTAATAAACTAATCAAGGATATTAAAAACAACGATAAAGAATATTATCGTGAATCTCTTCCTGTGAAAAACACAAGATGCTTTATAATAAACAGTTATTAAAAATCATTGCAATAAAAATAAATACGAAAAAGAAAATATATAAATATTATATTTTGTATATTTTGCAAATTAATGTTTTATTGCATAATCTAGTTAATTGCAAATCACTAATGCCTTACCGATAAAAGTACAAGGTAAAACTAAGTGCAATTTTTTAAAAAGGGAACTAATTTTATATCTGTATATTTATAAAATTATACGATAAATTAATTTATTAAATCCTTATTTATTTCTATTGTAAAATGAAAAAAAATTATAATACAAAATAAAATTTGATTTAGTTAAAGGTGTGTTTTATTTACCTTAAATGATTATAACACTGATTATTAAGATATTGATAATATGCTCTTTGAAATTCTGTAGTACAGAAGAAATTATGTAATATTTAGGTAAAGATAACGTAAACTGTTCAAGATACATACAACCAATCAATTACGAATTGTTTACTTCTTTCTGCCACCTCTTTCCTTTGGTAGGAGGTTGATTACATTACCAGATGTTAAATTATAATATGCAAGAGTATTGCTATCTTTGAAGAACATTCCCTAAAAACAACAAAAATATTGATCGTTATGTTCGAACCGTTAAATGAAAATTTTTAAGTATATGTATATGTAATTTATCTCTTACCTCGTACTGTAACTTCTGTTTACCAGGAGGCATACCAGTTTGTTCGTGTATAAGAGCTTTCATGGTTGCCACAGTGTCGCTCACTTGCAAAGTAATATTTAATGTCTGGCCGTTCAACTTCCATTCTGCTTTTTCTGTCATCATCGGCACGGCTATATTTAATTGAACGGGGCCCTAAAAAAATAAAATGTTATTTTACAGTACAGTTATAACAATTCTAAAATGTGTACAAAAATGCATTAAAATTTAATATAGTACCTTATTTCTAGCCAAGAACTGTTGTTCGGGTACCAATGAATCCTCTGTTCTCAGTTTCTTAGTCTGCGGTTCGTCTTCCATACTTTCAGTAGGATGTTTTAATCCCATCTGAAATATAAACAATCATGTTAATTTTCAAGCAGTACAAAATATTAATTAATTAAGTACATAATAATCAAACATTGCCTTACTTCGTAAATACTTACAGCAGATGCCATTGGTGGTTGCATAGGTGGTGGAGTTGGCATAAACGGTGACATTGCTGGTGCTAAACAGAAGAAAATAAGTTACTTGGATTCGTTTAAAAACACGAACGATCTCGAAAACTGTGCACACGGCGAACTGTAAATGAACACGCAAACATCGAAGGAGATTACACATTGAGTATTGCTTACTCATAAGAGGCGGTGGTCGAATAGGAGGCATAGGAGCCATCATCATCATCGGTGCCTGTGGCATCATCGGCTGAGGAATACCCATAGTAGGCATACTCATGGTTGGTGGTGGTGGTGGTTGCGTTGGAACTGGTACCGGTTTTGGAGCTGGTGGTTTGGGTGGTGCTTTCAGCGTAGCTTGAGGTTTTGAAGCAGCGGCTGCCATGTGCGACAGTTCTGCCGCACGATTGGCTGGTTTCGGACCGATCTTCTCTTTCTCTTCATCCGGAAGAAGACCTTTAACTTTGTGTATTTGATGAATTTGTTCTTCCAAAGTAATATTCGCTCTGGCAGCCCTGGTAGCCGCTTCGACACTCGACGTGTGTCCATCCCATGTAACTTTGTCGTCCTTCTTTTTGTCCTCTTCTCCAATCTTCTTACCGATAGCAGTTTCCTCGTCACCGACACCGAAGATATCGGTACGTCTTTCGGCGAGTTGTTTCAAACTAGCCTCGATTGCTGTACCAGGTGCAAATACTGTTTCTTGCGCCAACTTATCGAGATGTTTGTCTCTCTGTTCCACCCACCGTGGATCCAACAATCCGATTCGCATATGTTCTTGAACTTTGCTCGCCGGAATACGTTCTCCAGTGATCGGAGATATTAAGTACTCATCAGGAGCAACAGGACGGACAGTTTTGTTTCCATGTTGTTTAGGATCATAACCTTTCTTCACAACAACATTTCCTGGAGTAGGAGGCAATGGCGGAGGTTGCATACTATTATTATCGCGTGGCTTCGATTCTTTCGATTTGTGAGTATCACCTGGTGGTGACACATCATCCTCATCGCTCGAATCCTCCTCCATATCTTGTACTTGATTATTGTCTTTCGCGCGATCCTTTTCACCTTCTGTACGGTTTTGCATTTCATCTTCTCCGTCACTGTCAATCTGCATTTCGACATCTTCGCCATCTTCTATTCTCTCCTGAGGATTTAGAAAATTATTCGCAAAGCAGAAAATTTGTAATTTTCGATTGAAATACTTTGCTGTGATACATAATGATGCAGCTTAAAATACAATTCATTACCTGCATCAGTACTCGGGCACCAACTTCGTCCGGTGTTGTGGGCGCTGGGAAATTACCAACTTCAAATTGTTGATAGTCAACAGTCTCGACCACGACAAAATCGTGCCAGTCAATTTGTGCATAAGCAACTCTTTCGCGTTCCAATTCTTCTTCTTCTTTACGCCTTTGAGCTTCTTGATATTTTAACCATTCAGCACGATATTTAACTTGCTCTAAAATTTTATCCATATTAGCTGCTTCATCTCGAAGACGTGGTAATAAGTCCTTAGGTGGAATTAATACCTGTAAATTCATATTTATGTACATGGATAATTAGAGAGTATATTCAAATAATCGATAATAGAATCTCGTTTTACCTTTGTATATTGTTCCAAAAGTTTCGTGAAATATTGAAACAAGGAATGTTGAGGACGTAGAAAGTCAAACTGAAAGTTCCGCTGTTCCCTGTTCATCAAGTTTGTCAAAAACTGACGACCATTACGAGCTACAAATTGTGCTGTCAGTTTTACAATATCCCTGAAATAAAAAAATTATTGTATTTAAGACATTATATACATTATTGCGTTGTTACGCGATAAGGAAAAATTTAATTTCTACATACAGATCTAAAGCTGAGATGGAAGGTGGATCTGCGATAAATTCAAATTCTGCAGGTGGATCTTTTGGAATGAATGGCTGCTCAACTTGTTTTAAAATTTCTTGTTGCTTTTGATGAGCTATAAGATTAACTGTTTTTCCAAGTCCTGCTCCTATGGTTGGTTCTTGACCTTTTCCTTCTTTGAATTCTTTTACTTTATGTTGATAATAAGCATGATATGGATCGCCAAAATTTAAAAAATTAAACTTTGGATTTCCAAGTTCATTTTGTCTGATTCTTGATTCAAATTCTGGCCCATTTCTGGCCACAAAACTAGCCGTCTTGTCGACAATATCTAAATTTTTACATAAGGAAAACCACATAAATGTCAGTGTATACCTGTCTTTAATGATAATAGTAGTTAAAAAATGTACAAGTAAAATTAATCATATCTAAGTGTTTATTACTAGTTTCTCTTTTTATTAGTCCACAAGTGTACAAATAATGATACAAAGTACAAAAACATATATTAGTATTAAATTTCTAAAATAAATATTTCACATCGTTTATAATGCAGCAACTATTCTTTTATTTGAAGGAAGAACAGCATAAAAGAAGTGTAATGGGTCATAACATGTATTTTACAATATTTATATATATATTTAAATACACTTTCATCACAAAAATTAGCATTGTTAATATAATTACTACAAATATGTTGGATGAAAACATAGATTACATTTTATTGATAAAATAAACAAAATTGTTAAAGGATACTTCTAACCTCCGGTGGAGGGTATATGATGCCCACAATCGGCTGTGACGAAGGTGCATTATTTTCTTCACTCTCGGTCGCCGGTGGTTGAATAACTGCAATTTCTTGTGCAGGCATTTTACTAGAATCGTTTTATCCTCCTAATTTTTACACACTTTTTACTTTCACATCGTGTAAAAAATAATTACACAAACGTAACGCCATTAGCGACATCGGCGCAGAGATGCCACATTGAGCACCGGGTGCACTACTCACACTATGCCAGATCACGCGTACCGCGTACGTAAGCTCGTACAGTATCGGAGAGTCGACAAAGGCAAACTGACGGGTGCCCTCTTTCTCGATTCTCCGAAGCTGCCCGAAGTAATTTCGGACCGCTTCGTGGGAGTCGAGAGAGAAAGGCTCACATTTGCCTTATCGCTCTTGGACAACTGAAATTCGACCTCACGATTTGGATTCTCGAGTCGAGATTCTCGACTGCCCAGGCATTTTTACTTTCCGACCTATGTAGACGCACATAAGCAAAGTACCCATAATGAAAAAAAAATTTTGTAAAATTTATTTTACGGAAGTACACGTTTTAAGACCCCCTGATCATATTTTACTTATTGAAAAAAAAAGAAATTTTTTTGTATTACTACTATGTATGAGCATACATATGCATATTATTAATACGATTTTTCAACATCAAAATACTTTAAGATTGAAAATTAATAAATTAAAATGAGAGTCCACTCTTTGCCAGTATCGTGCACGCTGTGGTATTCTTCAATAAGAAGTGTTCTTATTTTTATAATATGAATAAAACAGGGGAATTAATTGTTGCAGAAATAAATTAATAATGATTTTCCTCTACATGTTTTGAGATCACCGTTTGTTATGACGAACTAAATATTATATGCCATTTTAATACAAAGTATGGGTTGGATATAAAATTTTAAAAGGATATAGCCAAATATTTTTACAGGTACAAAACATCGCGTTTAATTTTGGAACAGTAACATGAGTTATCAGGTGTCATAAAGCTGTTTAAATCACATAGCTATGGAACATAACTTTTGTAAATTACAATGGAATATAATTGATGTCTTTCCTTACTTATCTTTCTCAGTATCTTTATTATTTATATATGAATATGCTTTTATAAAAAGCATTTTACAACGAGGCTGTTAAATACGTATAACCAAGTAGATCATAATATTGTAAAAGTTGCTATGTACAAAATAAATGTTGACATAAAATAAATAATAATCTGTTCATTCGCAACATTCAACTATATAATTTACATCCAAAATATGTAGATGTACTAATGACATTATAAACAATTTAGTATTCAACCTATTGCTTCTGTTCTTATGTATATTTCTGTATAGTTTCTGAAAGACTGGTTGCCCCATTAACAACATGAGTGGGTAAATTAGACATAAATTTCATGGATGTCATAACACCTTTGTTCCAACATTTCTTCGAACATGATGAAATAGTTGTGACGCTTGGCAGTCGATTGTACTAAACACAATTGTTAAAAGATTAGTTCTTTCAAATAACATATATTTCAAAGAGTTATAACAAATATTTGTAAATTACCTCGTGTGCTACTTCCTTAGGTATATTGTCTTTAACATAAGGCGCAACATTATTGTATATTCTTCCGTATAATTTAGCAGTTTTTTCTGATTTCGACCACAAACCTTCGTAATAGGTGTAATATACGATACCCCCCACAACAGTAGTTTTTATCGTAAACCTACAAATATAACCTCTCAATCATACTTCGATTTTTATTATGTACATCAAATATCATGAAAATACCACAACAGATTTCCATCCTTAGATTTTAGAGCACGTACTAACCCGATCAAACCCATCGTATAATATAAATTAGTTTGATACAATAATTCTGGTCTTCTGGTTGTACTTTTTCCTCGTATGAAAATTATGTAAAACCTAGTAACTTCCGGTTTAGCTCAAAATACCTTTAGATATATTTTTTATATATTTTTGTATGCCGTAACATATCTTTTATAATTGATTAAGCGCTTAGAAAATTTTTGTAACGTAGATTTGCTTTGCATTTGAAAATTGTAACTAAAAATCCGTTTAGAAATTATCATGACTTACATTGTATTTTAAATGTTTACTGTGAATACAAGACGTTGAACTACACGTACTTACTCGATACAATTATTTATATTTACGTTTATTACGAATGATTTACAATGTATATTTTCTTATTACCTTTATCTCTTTTTGAACAATGAATAATTTTTCTTCATTAGAAAAAAAAAATGTTGATTTAATTTAATCTCGAAAGCAGTTTACAGATATTTATGTGCAATAAAATTGTATAATGTGGCCTCAGGAATATATAGAGCTAAAGGTAATTACCTAGATTAATACCTATTTAGAATATATAAGTAAACAATCAATTAATGAACTTTTTTGTAGCTCATAGAAGATTTATTAGTTTGCGGAATATGCTACGAATACATGGAAACTTCTGTTATCACATCATGTTCTCATAACTGTAAGAAATACATTTTTCACTTTAATTTGCATAATGTTACAAGGACTTTTCACAGTTGTTTTCATTCTATATTTCAGATTGTTCTTTATGCATCAGGAAGTACTTGCATTATAAAACCCAATGTCCCGTTTGTTTCGCCGAAACTTTTGAAAAGGACTTGCGGAAGAATAAAGTTCTGGATGAAATTATAACACAATTTTCCCAAATCAAGGATAGACTAAAGAAATGTTTAAGAAATCAAATCGATTTTCTGCCATTTAATAGAAGCGATATCATTCTGAATACTCCAAAATCGGTGCATAGAATTAAAGAAAAGCATTTAATTAAACAAGACGATAAAATTATTAATAAAAGTTTCACTTCTATGAATAATGGGTCACCTTCTTCAAACGTACAATTAAATATATCTAGTCCAGGCACCAGTGGAAATTCTAGAATACCTCTAATGTTTACACCTAGAAGTGCAAAACGTTCAAACGTAACAGTCGTGGAAAAAACCGATGATGTAATATGTCCAGTGTGCAAAGTTACTATTTCAGAAATGCATATAAATAGACATCTTGATGATTGTTTGAAACGAGAATCAATAAAAAATAGACCACAAGTGTAAGGATAATAGAATTTAATTTATTTACATGCATTATTAATATATACAGTATATTCTCCACTTATGCTATTAATTTATTTGGGAGATAGTTTGGGAGGATTTATGAAAATTTAACATAAAAAATTTTATACATGCTGTTTGTTTAATGTATTATTTTTACTTCACCTTTTGCTCGAATATCTTCAAGTTATATTAATATTGTATCATTTAATTATTTGATTATTACAGAAGAGAATCAAACCGCCAACCACTGCCAAAATTAGTATTTACTTTAATGAAGGAAGCTGTGATAAGAAAAAAATTAAAAGAATTTGGTTTATCAACGCAAGGAGATCGAAGAGTTATGGAAACTCGATTGCAAAGATACATTGTCCTTTATAACGCAGAATGTGATAAATCAAATCCAAGACCAGTTTCAGACTTAATCAAGCAGTGCGAAGATGAAGAGAATCTTGAGAAAAATATTTATAAAACTTCATCGTTTATAAATGTAAATGCTCGTTCTGTTATTTTTGTCGTTTAATTGCGTTCAAAGTATTTAAATTTTTTTTATTGCTTATTCGTTGATTGTTTTAGAAGTTACAAGTTAATAGAAATACAGAAGAAAATGTTATAAACGAGGAGAGAAAGAAATACTGTAAGTTTTTTTCTCACTGGCCGATAATTTTTCAACAATTTCTAGTTCAATAATTTTTTTATTTTTTTTTTGCATCAGTGGAAACATACAAAGATAGCTTCGAAACTTTAATTAGGAAGATTCAGCGTACTGATCCTCCCAGAAATTCATTTGCAAAACGCAATCTACTGAACGAACATGTACAAAGCAGTGAAAGTATTTTGCATATACATGAAGCGAAGGATGAAAATTCAGATCACTCAGTGACTGAAAGTGACAAAAACGAGTCTATGAATTTGGTTGAATATATCGAAGATTCCGATTCGGATACTAACTGCCCATTACAAGTGTATTCTAGCACTCATTCAATAAAATTGCATGATGCCAAATTAAATTCTTCTAATAAGGATATTCCAAAGAATGAATTTGAATGTTATGAAGAGCATGTTGATACAAATTTAGATATACTTAGTGATATTTCTGTGTCTAATAAAGACACACCAATGGATACCGATTCTACGAACGTAAGCAGCATTTTAAAGGATAAAGTACCATCTCAAAGAAAGGAAGAATTATCTTTAAATGATGAAATATCAAGTATGGACTCTATTACTACTAACACAGAAGATTTCGATCCCAACAATGTTTTAGATCATGAAGAGGCAGATAGGAAATCAACATCTGTTTTACAAGATGTTCTGTGTGATTTATCAAGTAACGATAGTATCGACAGCAAATGTAACTCTGGTATGTAATTTAATTTCATTAATGTCATGAAATTATAGAAAAGACTTGTAGGGATTTTTGTATTTAATAAAGAAACACTATTTTATAATAATAATAGTAAAGTATGGTAATATTAATGTAATATTTGTGAATTATACAAGAATGTTGAAAATTAGAATTTTCGTAGGATACTAAAAAGTTGTAAAGATGTTAAAATATCTGGAATTATTTTTACAGAGATATCACGTTCCATTGATCACGAATTTTTAAATGACAGTGCAAAAGATCTGTCAAATATGGAGAAAGAAAATATAAATTTGACGCCCGGATCTAGCGGAAGCCGTTCGCTCCGAAAAAGAGATCGTGATCCAGTACAAAATGATAATAGAATTGTTTCAAGTGTAAAGAAAAAAATGAAAAAGTTGCCACAATATCACGATAGCGAGACTGATGAATCGAACAACGAAGAATCTTTGAGGGCTTTAAATAATAATGCAAATAACTATGTGAAACCAAAATCACGATTGAAAAAACGGGTATTAAATACGCTCGCGACAAAAGACACACCTGTATTAAGAAAATCTGTTAGAAAGAAATTTAAAAAAAATATTTAATGAAAATTGGGAGTATATTTTAATTTGTATATTTTAATTTGTATAATTATTCACCATGTAATTTGGAATGACGTTAAATAAGTCCTTTAAATCTTATTTAATATGCACAGAGACACTTATTATAGAAATTACAAAAATCTGTGTGCCTTAAAATCAAATAATTTCAATCATAAAAGTACTATAAAAACATGTTACCCACCAATTTAATTTATTTATAAATCGTGCTAACAAGATTTCGAGGTGTGTTTTTATTTAACAGAGTTATAAAGAAATGTGTAAAACATTCCTTATGTTTGTATTAATAAAAAATCAAAATTATAGTTTTTTCTTACCTTTCATTTACATTCTCTGCCTTTTCTATTAAATCCTTGATTTTTATAAATGCTAAAGTTTTATAATCCCTTGTAACTGTTCCAGATATTACTCGGGTCTAATTAATATCTAATTAAGTTCTTCAATCATTTTTCTACACATTCTTTTATATAATTAATAGGTTATATGAACGATTATTGGAAGCAATTCTTATTTTAATATTACGCTAAAAAGTGCCTAAAAATAGTGTCGCCATCTACTATCAGGGATTCGATTAAAGCAGACAGTGATACAGTCGTAAATGTTCCGACTTCCGATATTTGTTAATAACTTCTTAATTACGAGCGAAATGGGTATAAACAGTATCTTTGAATGTTTGCAAGGGTTTATACTATATTCTTAAATTCTAAAAGTTCATATTCTAATTCTAGGAAAGGAATAATTAATGAATAATCAAGGTATGTACTGCGTAACAGGAGTACTAGGAGTGGGGGAACCTGTACTCCGGGATACCTCCTCTAACATTCTGTGATCCTGGCACAATTTTAGCAGTTCAAATCCCTGATATTAGATGGCGACGCCATTTTTCGGCACTTTTTAGCGCCGAAATAAACAAGCTATGCGTAACAGGAGTACCAGGAGTAGGGGAACCTGTACTCCGGATACCTCCTCTAACATTCAGTGATCCTGGCACGATTTTAGCAGTTCGAATCCCTGATATTAGATGGCGACACTATTTCTCGGCACTTTTCAGCGCTTCTTCGTGTCGAGTAAATTTTTAATTCAGCACAGAGTAAAGGTATTAAAATGATTAAAAAACTGTTTATCAAAGACACCAAATTTTATTGAATATATTATAGTATTTTGATCAGAGAGGGATCAACAATGGTAAAATGATGATAAACACAAACTTACATCTCATTTATGTATAGCTAGTAACAGTAATATAAGAAGCCTAACTTAACATTAAAATAGTTGTTTTTTGACATTGTTTACGCATAAAATATCTGTCTTTGTTTTGCATTTTATTATTTTATACACTTTGGTATCATTTATACATTAAACCTCATGTACATTATATTGTACATTATGTGTAAGTTATATTTGAATTTATTTCATATACGCGCGCGCGCATATATAAGTTCAAATATAACTTTGTTTTTAGTTAATAGAACTTTCAAGGCTCCTAACATCCTAAATGGAATAACTATCACATTCATAAAACACTTTATTTCAACTTTTTTTTTTCTTTTTTTAAATATTCTATTGCAATCTTATGACGGTGATTTATTATATTTCAATTTATATCTATATTATTATATATTCTCTTCTGTGAATAAATACAAGTGCAACGTTGTTATAGGAATGAGATTTTCTACAGTTTGTAAGTGTTCCGTGCTAACAGTTAAATATTTCTTTAATATTAAGTATAATTTATATTTGGCAGTGTTTCTGAAACTATTCTTTGCGAAACCAGCGAATTTAAGTACTTTCGAAGATCGTCTATTATTTTCTTCTGATAAATATTGAACCTGCTAACAAGATTTCTGCTTAAAATATTAAATATCTGTTAAAATAAAATATCCACGTAACACGATCAAGTGGATAGACTACAGTATTAAGCAAGTATGTTGTGTTATCTTATTGTAAAATTGCCATACGCAGGATACCTTTTACGTTATTTTATGCTGCAATAGAATCGTATATATTTATATATTTCAGAAATAATTCTGCTCTATCCCTTAACGATTATATTCCAAAAATAAATATATTTTCAAAAATATGTTTATCATCTTTCGGTAAGAGTTTAATTTCAGTATTTTAAAATTATTGGCAATGCTTTCTGCTATACTATGCTGAGTTTTTATTCATTCATCAAACTACATTTAGGTTTTTCACGATAGGGGTTACGCATAAGAAGTTTGAGAACCACTGCTGTATGGTATGGCATCACGCGAGGTAGTCACTCAACGTTCACTACACTTTTAAATGTACTGCGAGCATGTCTAGTTTTTTTTTTTTCTTTTTTAAATATACAAAGAATACTTTGCAACGGTTGAAATATTTTTAGTGTTAATTTCACGCTTATATGTGAATACGTGATATAAATTTCAAAGGAGTAAACGATAAAAAATTTGGATAATGCAAAATATACAGGGTGTTCTCTGGGAAAAATTTTAATGGGAGATTCTAGAGGCCAAAATAGGACGAAAATCAAGAATACAAATTTTTTGATGGAGGCTTCGTTAAAAAGTTATTAACATTTACAGTTCCGCCAGTATTGAATTTTTTTCTCGAAAATGCGCAGGATTTCGGGGGTATATCTATTCACAAAAAATGATTGTAATTGATCCGTGTAACTAAAAATAATTTTTTTAAAACGATTTGATATTTTTTAGTTTTGTCGAAAAATTTCATATTTTCTCGAATTTTTTTCTTGAAAATGGTTAGGATTTCGGGGGTATATCTATTCACAAAAAATGATTGTAATTGATCCGTGTAACTAAAAATAATTTTTTTAAAACGATTTGAAATTTTTTAGTTTTGTCGAAAAATTTCATATTTTCTCGAATTTTTTTCTTGAAAATGGTTAGGATTTCGGGGGTATATCTATTCATAAAAAATGATTGTAATTGATCCCCGCAACCAAAAATAATTTTTTTAGAACGGTATGAAATTTGTCAATTTTGTCGAAAAATTTCATACCTTCTCGAATTTTTTTCTCGAAAATGGTTAGGATTTCGGGGATATGTCTATTGACCAAAAATAATTATAATTGACCCCAGCAACTAAAAATAATTTTTTTAGAACGGTATGAAATTTGTCAATTTTGTCGAAAAAACCTTCTCGAATTTTTTTCTAGAAAGTGGGTAGGATTTAAGGGGTATGACTAATGACTAAAAATTATTGTAAATGATTCCAGCAATCAAAAATAATTTTTTCAGATCGATTTGAAATTTTTTAATTTAATTTTTTAATAACTTTATAACGAAGCCGCAGTCAAGAAATTGACATTCTTTAATTTCATTTATTTTGGCCTCTAGAATCTCTCATTAAAATTTTTGCCAGGAATGGCCGAACACCCCGTATACAAAATTTGTTTGAGTCGCTTTTGAACGTTTCAACAGACAATTTACAGTTACGTGGAACTCGTGCGTTTTCCCCGTTGCGTAAAACTAAAGTGCTTCGCTGCGTCTTGCGTTTACCATCATCGACGCAATAATTCAAATAGTCTTAAGTAATCTATTATCATACAGGATTCAAACACAATACAATTAACGATTGTATTTCGTATAGTTTTCTCCGTATCGTTAATTAATATACAGGAGTAGTATTGTTTCGATAAGAAACGCTAGTTAACAATGCTACAGCAGTCCAAGATTCGCACATCGAGTGCCACACTTCCTTTCAAATAGCACGTGAATTTTCTATTTATACCAAAAACAAGTGTAAGGGGCGCGCAAATGAAAATATGTACAAGGAATTAATCTTATCGAATTCGTGTTATTTGACAGAAAGTATGATGCATCAATTATAACGATTATACGATTGTAAATATTTCGTATGTTGCAATCAGCAATAATCGCGATTTAATTATAATACATGTAGTCGTTTGCATTACATCGTACGCGTGGAACACGCGTAGATATGCAGAATGCTCCGCAACGATATGTTCGACGTCTCTGTTAAACTTTGGGAACGTAACATTAAAAGAAAAAAAAAAAAAACTATCTTACAATTATTTACATAGGCGCGGTGGTTCAGCGTCGTGATAACGATAATGCACTTTTTTTCACGTATTTTCTTTTTGCGGCATTTTGATTAACTCTTTGATTATAGAGTCGGGCATATTTTTTTTTTTTTATTTTATTTTATTGCACTTAAAATGATTGCTATTCGAATCCGCTGATTAATTTAAGGAATACTGGTTACTTTTCTCTTAAAAATACTCGTAAATCGGTAAACATTCAGCGAAGAAATTCTCTCGATCGAAGGGATGCTATTAATTATATTATTCCTAGAATTCTTATTTTTTTTTTTTTATTCATCCATTTTTATTTTTCCTTCGAGAGATTATCGCGACGAATCGCATGTTGCAGCGATCCTCTTGGAACTTACGAAAATTTTAGATAGAACAATTTGCAATTAACAATCGTCGTAGGACTCGAAGGTTTCGACCTTGAATTTCAATGGCTTAATCGAAATCCTAACGCATTAAATTTTAACTCGAATAAGATTCCCCTAATTAAGTGTAATTTCTCATGAATTCGTAAAAACGTTTTCGAGTGTATCTCAACAATAACAACTATACTCTATAAATCTCGAATCGATTTTCCTAAACTTAATAATTAGAGATACTCTGGAATATCGTCGATCATAATTTTCTCTTGAAACGTTTTAAACAGTTTTTCTATGATATTCGCGTGATATACAATAGAAATATACTATATGCATATACAGGGTGTTCGGTCAACCGTGGGAAAAATTTTAGTAGGAGATTCTAGAGGCCAAAATAAGACGAAAATCAAGAATACCAATTTGTTGATGGATGCTTTGTTAAAAAGTTATTAACATTTACAGTTCCGCCAGTATTGAATTTTTTACTCGAAAATGCGCAGGAATTCGGGGTTATATCTATTCACTGAAAATTATTGTAATTGATCCCCGCAACTGAAAATAATTTTTTCAGAATGATTTGAAACTTTTTAATTTTGTCGAAAAATTTCATACCTTCTCAAATTTTTTTCTCGAAATTTGTTAGGATTTTGGGGGTATGACTATTGACTAAAAATGATTGTAATTGACCCCAACAACCACAAATAATTTTTCCAAAACGATTTGAAATTTTTGAATTTAATTGTTAATAACTTTTTAACGAAGCCTCCATTAACAAATTAGTATTCTTGATTTTCGTCTTATTTTGGCCTCTAGAATCCCCAATTAAAATTTTTTCCTGGGGTGGCCGAAAATATATTTATACTCTGTATAAAGTCGTTTTAATAACGCATAAATTTTCTCACGCCTTCGAATTCCGGTTTAAGTTGTCGAAACGTCGTTCGGGCGAGAAGATTTACAAAAATATTATACTACTTTTTTTTTACGATCAAACACAGCGTCTATGGTTTCTATAGAATCACGCGAAAATAAAGATTCGCATGGTATCCTTACGTTCGTCGAATAAATATCTCTACATGGCAACCGTGCAATTACTCCCCCTCTTTGCCTTTCGCGTTTCTCTACTTTTTAAAGCAGTCTTATTACCATAAACGAACTCTGAACGGTTCGTCTCGAAGGATTATCTTCAAACGCCTCGCGGCGTTAATTGAATTACGTCGATAGTATATTTGGAAATATGTAACAATTAGATTTAAACCTATCATTAGTCGGAGCGTCTCGCGCGCGATTAATTGCGTGCTAATCACGCAAGCTGATTCCGAAAGTAAGTACAATTAACTAAACCACCACAGCGCGTCCAAGTCTTCGATTTTTTATAGATCGTATTTACAGATTTGTTCGCGGTAAAGGTTTTTTTTTTATTGCAACCGATCGTCGATATATTCGTCAGAGTCGAGGGCGAGTTTTATTCCCCGGGTATCAAACATTTTTACATTCGTTCGTAAAGAAGATTTTTTGCCGTCGGTTATATAAAAAAAAGTCCGTCGTTTTAACTCGCGAACGAAACGAAAACGGAATCCGGCGCACGAACGAATTAAAAATTATCTATTTTCTATTCGGGAATAAAATTTTTCCAACTCTGATGTTTAGGAATTGATTTGTCCATGTTCGTGGATCAACTTTTTGACACGTTCGTTGCGATGGAGGTGGATTTACCTCGTCGATCACGTACAGAGCGTCACCATTTTGTTGGCTCTGTAGTCGAGATTTATTTACTTTGCCATTTTTGTTCAAAATCTATGTTACATTTAAATTCAAGAAAAGGTAAGCGTTTGAAGGGGGTTTCTCGTTGATTTCAGTGATTCACTTGCATTTAGGTTTTAAGATATTGTTGTAAAATTAGAATTGACGCCTAAATAGGTGTAAAGTCGTGCACACGCGAACATCGCGTTGCCTGTTGTCAGGGGCTCTTCAAAAAATAATAGATAATTACAGTTTATTTGATGTCAATTTTAATAGATTTTCAATAATTAGACTGCGGATCTTTATGCAAATTCACGTATTTATTAGAATTAATGAAATAGGAGCTTCGTAGAGGGTTGTCTCAACCCTTAAATATAATAATTTCTCATATTTCTCATATTTTCGCATATCAAGTATATTCTGTAGTTTTTCAAAATTAAAATTTCAAAATTAAACGTCCACAGTTTAGTAATAACAATATCTCGAAAACTAAGCGCAAGCAATATTTATTCGAATAGATAAATGTTTTTGAAACAAAAGGACATGTTCCATTCCGTAATGAACGTATTAAGAAGTTGACGAATCGATCTTAAATCTTTGAAGATGAAAAAACGCGCTGATGGACGCCGGAAGTCTCACCTAATCCTCGACGAATCCTTCTATTATACGCCTGACTAGCGTCACGTTACATTATCCCGTTTGTTACGTCTCATGACCGTGATACCTATGGAACCTCGTATTTTCCGTAATAGATCTATTATATCAGCTGTCGACATATCTTTCACGCTCTCGTCGTTCACCTGAAACAGACGAAAAACTAATGAATAACAAATAACCGAAACGCGACGCGCTTCGATCACGATTCTCCGCCAGTAACGCGTTATTTATTCTTTTGCAAGACGAATGAAACGACAAAAATTATTCAAACGTGAAATTTTGGCAAAAAGGAACTGTTAAATTGGTATTGTTTTTATCAGAATTGATCGAACGATGACAATCTGAAAGACAGTATGTGAGATAATATATGAATTTTCTGGGTGTTGTTAGTGATATTTAAATCAGGAATGGTATTGAAAGTATAATGAGTTTATTACGATTTTTATTTTTATCAGAATTGATCGAACCACGATGATGTGACAATTTGAACTCTAGACACGATGACAATTTGAAAGACAGTATGAGCGATAATGCGTTAATTCTCTGGGTCTTGTTAGTAATATTTAAACCAGGAATGGTATTGAAAATATGATGAGTTTACTACGATTTTTATTTTTATCAGAGAACCAATAAACCACGATTACGTGACAATTTGAACTCTAGAAACCATGACAACCTGGGAGACAGTATAAGCGATAATACGTTAATTTTCTGGGTTTGTTAGTAATATTTAAACCAGGAATGGTATTGACAGTATAATAAGTTTATTACGATTTTTATTTTTATTAGAATTGATCGAACGACGGTGACGTGACAATTTGAACTCTAGAAACGATGACAATCTGAAAGACAGTATGAGCGATAATGCGTTAATTCTCTGGGTCTTGTTAGTAATATTTAAACCAGGAATGGTATTGAAAATATGATGAGTTTACTACGATTTTTATTTTTATCAGAGAACCAATGAACCACGATTACGTGACAATTTAAACTCTAGAAACGATGACAATCTGAAAGACAGTATAAGCGATAATACGTTAATTCTCTGGGGCTTGTTAGTAATATTTAAACCAGGAATGGTATTGAAAGTATAATGAATTTATTACGATACCATCATAAGCACATCTCCTTGTTTAAGCCTTCCATCTTTGGCAGCAACACTGTCGGGATGTACCACCGATATAACTGTATGATTTCCTTCCGGTTGCAAGCTGAACCCTAGTCGACTATTCCATCCACGTGTCAGCTCTACCATGAACACCTACAACAATAATAAGAGTAATTGCAATTAAGCGTATGTGTCAAAAATATTTCCACTTTCCTTATTTCTTCTCAAACAATTCGTTGTCAATATATCTTGCAAAAAAAATGTGATCATTTATTAATGACTTTTAAATATTGTTAAAAGCATGACAGCCTTCGAATTAACAAATTTTAATATCAACCTTGTGTTTGTGAATACTGTACAATGTTTAATTTGCAGAACGCCTTCATCAATAACAAGACTAATTGCAATTAAGCGTTAGTGTCAAAAATATCTCCACTTTCCTTGTTTCTTTTCAAACAATTCGTTGTCTATATATCTTACAAAAGAATGTGATCATTTATTAATGACTTTAAAACATTGTTAAAAGCATGACAGCCTTCGAATTAATAAATTTTAATATTAACGTTGTGGTTGTGAATACTGTACAATGTTTAATTTGCAGAACGCCTTCATCAATAACAAGACTAATTGCAATTAAGAATTCATGTCAAAAATATCTCCACTTTCCTTGTTTCTTTTCAAACAATTCGTTGTCTATATATCTTGCAAAAAAATGTGATCATTTATTAATGACTTTTAAATATTGTTAAAAGCATGACAGCTTTCGAATCAATAAATTTTAATATCGACCTTGTGTTTTTAAATACTGTACAATGATTGATTTGCAGAAGGATTTATTATTTCTTAAAGTTTGAAAATTGAAATACCAAATTTTGTAGAAATTAATAATAATTGATTGCCAGACTGAAATATTACAATTTTAAACGAGACCAAAATTTTAATCCTAGACAACGGTAAACCCCCCATTCAACATTTTTGCAAAGGAAATTGTTGTTCAGAATCGTCTCAGCTACCCCACATTTCCGATTCTTACACTATTTACGGGACACCCTGTATAACATAAAATTTGTAGCGTCATATATTCTTGCAATGTTACTAAATAAATATTTAAATTCATTTCCTTTAATCTCTTGATGTACGATTTAATATTTTATTTTGTTCGTAGAATGGTCACGAGAAAGAATAGATTTACAAATAGCTTGTATATTTACAAATGTGTTGATTTTAATATATAGGATTTGATGACAAGTGAGTAGCTTGTTGATTGTGAAAATTGACATTAAATACTTGTGACGAGTCAGACTTGTCATTGTACAACATGATTAACATCAAGAGTTGTCGATATATCTTACAAAAAAATGTGATCATTTATTAATAACTTTTAAACGTTGTTAAAAGCATGACAGCTTTCGAATTAATAAATTTTAATATCAACCTTGTGTTTGTGAATACTGTATAGTCTTTTAAACGTTGTTAAAAGCATGACAGCTTTCGAATTAATAAATTTTAATATCAACCTTGTGTTTGTGAATACTGTATAGTCCGGGCGACGATATAGCGAGGTCGTAAACTCGAGTAGGTGTCAAAGTTTACACGTTTCAGCTCCCGAAACAAGTGAATTGACAGAAATACGAGCAGCTAAGGGCCTTAGACCATAGTCAGGGCCGTACGAAGAAATGTTTTAACACTTTAATGGCCGCACGTATCACGTGAAGACCATTGTCCATCACCACTGATAGTGTAGACCAAAGTGAGATACATGAAGATGCTAGGAATATTATTAGAAGGAATTATAAATGTAACCTCAACAAACGTAATAAGTTGAATGTATGATGAAATGGTGACTGATACAGTAGATCACGCACACGTGACAGTGGCTAACGTTTACTAGCTCGCAAAGTCACGTATACGTGACAGCGGCCGTCAAAGTGTTAAGTAGTGTCGCCATTTTTAGAGGTATCGTAACAAGTAAAGGTCTTACTCAAGTTTTTAATATCTTAATTTACCTGCTTATAATATATGCATATACAAAAAGAAAAAAGGTAGTGCAGTCACGGACACAAAACGACATTCAGAAAGGCACCCTCAAGCAAGATGTCATGTACGATCCTAAATGTCGCAGCAGTAATCGGTCCCAACTCTCGAGAGTTTAGTTTACGACCTCGCTATATCGTGGCCCGGACTATACATACAATGATTGATTTGCAAAAGAATGTATTATTTTTTAAAGTCTGATGGTTGGAAGGGTACGTGTGGTGTTTTATTTAATTACCAACGTTTCGTTGTGACTCGATAAGGGAAATTTTTACCTCGGTTCCTTGTTCAAGTTCTTCGCTCGGGGCAGCTGAATCTGTGGTGTCTTTCCCGACCTTCTCCTCTTCGTTTTCGGTTTTATCTATTCCATCATCTGGGGCGAACATCACGCCCTTCCACTTCAGCAAACCCTTGCTGCCAGCGGGATCTTCCGTTCCCAAGATTTTACCTGCGCGGCACAGAAAACTAAATCACAACGGGGGAGGAAATAAATTTTCCATCGGGCTGTCGCTAAACTGAATTCTTTTCGACGGTTGTGCGAATCGTACCCCACCACCAATCACCACCAAAACAGATGCATAATATTTTCTTTTGCTCTGGTTATTTAATCAAAATAACGCAAATTTATTTCTTCGATTAATAATTCAAACACATTTTAAATAGGTGGTAAAAATTCCAAAGAAACATATCTTTCTTTTTAATTTTTCACTTATGCATATAGTCACTTTGAAGCAATAATTTTTTCGTGTTCCCTTGAAGGGTGCACCGAAATTATTTTCTGGATTTGAGATACCCCCTCAGAGGGTTAACTTTTAAATTAATTTATTATAGTATTATCAGCTCTGGGTTTGCCACTCAATAATTGAAGAAGAATTCAGCTCTTAAAATCCCACACGAAACGATTTCATGGCTCGACCATGAATTCTAACTTTTTTATTATTGAAAATAATAACCTCTCGAGGGAATATGTTGTCACACTTCTCTTGCACAATATCACAAAAAATAGTGAAAATTACAAGAGTTCAGCGAAGCTATGAACACGAATAGTAACTCAATAATTAATTAACAACACTGGACCGATGTTTGCGCAACATTTTCACAGTTTTCGTCGCGATAAAGGCGTTGTACGCTTCTGTGTGTTACGAAGAACCAGAAATGTCGAATGATTTGATACACGCTGATGCAGGATAAAAGTATTCAACGATTGCTGAGCCGACAGTATATTCGTAGCTAATATAACTCGTTTGTGCGCGAAATCAAGGTGACTGTTCTTGACGTAATAGTAAGATATTGCACGCGTATGTGTTACCAAATGATAAGATAATGGAACATTGTATTATTCGAACGGTTCCTGCATAATCTGTTAAATTATTTTCTAACTTCGTACAATTTGTTTAAATTAAAGCGTTGCTCGGATGATACTTTTAACCCTTTGCTTTACGATTTAATTTCCAACTGTGCGTGCCAAAAACGACACCAAGGTTTGGCCTGGTAGATTTATCACGTTTCTGAGACGTTATTGAAAGCTAAGGGGTTAACGTTATTTAAAAATTAGACTCTTGGGATATTGATTGCATATATTTTTATCGATAAATTGCTAACGAATGATGTTTAAGCGTGGAGAATGTTATCTTGAACCCAGCCTGTCCGTCGTTCTGTGTTGCATTCATCATAGCTGCAACAAGAGCGTATGCTACCGATGCAAGCAATATATCCGTATATGTACACAGTACTAGTTTATCATGTCACTGCGATAAGTCGATAGGGACTAAGATCGAAGCAAGATAGTAGAGTCGACAGAAAATAAATCAGATCACCACCAGTGATTGTAAACACCAACAGAAACGATGAACTATGGATGGATAAGTCGGTGAAGTTACGCTCAAAACATACTTCGAGCTCTCAGAGACTTTCAGAGAATTGAAATACCAAATTTTATAGGAATTAATAATAATTGCCAGATTGAAATAGTACAATTTTGAACGAGACCAAAATTTTAATCCTTGACAATTGTAAACTATATAACAAAATTTGTAGCGTCATATATTCTTGCAATTTTATTAAATAAATATTTAAATTTATTTCCTTTATCTTTTTGATGTACGATTTAATTCTAAATGATTTTCTAAACGCATAACATTTAATTTTGTTTTAATTTGTTCGTGCATACAATGGTCACGAAAAAGAATAGATTTGCAAATAGCTCGTGTATGTAAAAATGTGTAAATTTTAATATATAGGATTTGATGACAAGTGAGTTGTTGATTGTGAAAATTGACTTTAACAACTTGTGACGAGTTCGACTCGTAATTGTAGGGCATGGTTAATATCAAGAGGTTAAATAATATTTATTTAGTAAGATTGCAAGAATATGTGACACTACAAATTTTATGTTAGATAGTTTTCAATTGTCTGTAAAATTTTGGTCTCGTTTAAAATTTTACTATTTCCATTTGAGAATTAATTTTGTTATCCACGGTGAAAAATCTTGTCATCTATATAATACATATGGGCAACATGATAAAGTGTTGCTCGATCATTTTAAATTAAAACAAATAAATTCACAAAAAGTATACAGATATAAAGTTAAAAAAAAAAAGAAAAAGTGCTCTTAATGTTTCCACTTGAAAATTAAGTGAAAAATCTTGTCGTCTCTATATGTATACATATAGGCGACGATTATAAAGCCTTAAAAGAGTTCTTTAAATTAAAAAAAATAAATTCACAAAACTATCTACATATGAAGTTAAAAAAAAGAAATTGTTCCTAATATTTCCACTTGCCAATTAATTTTGTTGTCCATGGTGAAAAATCTTGTGATCTATACAATGTATATGGGCAACATGACAAAGCGTTGATCGATCATTTTAAGTTACAAAAAAATAAATTGACAAAACTATCTATACATGAAATTAAAAAAAAAAATTTTTCCTAATATTTCCACTTGCGAATTAATTTTGTTGTCGACGGTGAAAAATCTTGTCATCTATACAATGTATATTGTATATGGGCGACGATGACAAAGCGTTAAAAAAATTCTTCAAATTAAAAAAAATAAATTTGTCAAAACTATCCAAACATGAAGTTAAAAAAAAGGAAAAATTGCTCCTAATATTTCCACTTGACAATTAATTTTGTTATCCACCGTGAAAAATCTTGTCATCTATACAATGGGCAACAATGAGAAAGTATTGAACGATCATTTTAAATAAAAAAAAATAAATTTATAATCTATCTACACGTGAAAAAAAAAGAAATTGCTCCAGTATAGAATCCTGTAATGCAGAGGAGAAATTGTTCCTAATATTTCCACTTGAGAATTAATTTTTGTAGTCCATGGTGAAAATTTCATCTATAGAATGGGCAACGATGAGAAAATATTGAACGATCATTTTAAATGAAAAAAAATAAATTTATAATCTATCTAGACGCGAAAAAAAAAGAAATTGCTCCAGTATATGTAGAAACCTGTGGGGAGAAATTGTTCCTAATATTTCCACTTGAGAATTAATTTTGTAGTCCATGGTGAAAAATCTCATCTATACAATGGGCAACGATGAGAAAGTATTGAACGATCATTTTAAATAAAAAAAAATAAATTTATAATCTATCTAAACACGAAAAAAAAGAAATTGCTCCAGTGTAGAAACCTGTGATGTAGAGATCAGTGGTGGACGGGTTCGTAAAAAATATATCTGCAAAAATAGGATTCGTGAAATATCGAGTAACCTGGTATATCCTGGTCGCTGGAGTGTGTAGCCTTATTTTTCGCGGTGGCGTCGATACCGGCGCCGCAAGCTGGATTGGCGCTCTGATAAGCCGGGTTCTTATAACTGAATGCAGCGGTGCTCGAGGTGCTCGTCGAGGAGAGCACCGGTGGCATCGAGGCTGGCTCCGATGGTAGATCGTTGTCGTGCTCGTCGCTGGACAATCCGTTCGCCTCTCTTCTCCTATAATCGGTCCCCGTTGTCTTGTTCAGCTCGTCCTCGGCGACGATCCCGTCACCTCCGGGATACTCGAGATCGGAGTCCAGGCTGCAGAACTGAAAATGAGGTTTCCCCTGGGGCGCCGATAAGTCGAGGAAACTCGGTCGCGCCGGTGCCTTCGAGGAATCACTGGAATCGCAAACGTCGTAGAGTGGCGGCGGATCGATTATGTCGGTTCCAGGTGTGTTTGGTTGGGAATTCGTTATCTGCGTCCTGATCGAGCACTGGTCAGAATCCGATGTCTCCGCTTGGCTGGCCGTCGACGTCGTGTGCACGCTCGAATGCTTCTCCAGAGCTTCTGCAAACCACGGATATATCTCTCTTAGAGGGACCACCTACGTAAGCCTAGAAGCTAGCAATATTTGTGCAAACTCTGATTGGCCGACGAGGCGACGACGCGTATCACCACTTTCGACGATCTTCTGCAACATGAATCTACTCGAAAAGGACCCCGCACAGATCTTACGGAAAATGGCCCCCGGTTAACCCCTTAACGCTCATGCCTGAGTCTGACTGTTTTGAAAAACGATATTTGTTTAATTTGGTGGTTCAAGGGATGACAATATTTGTTTTCCTGCAAGTTATACGCTAGATACAACATTGTAATTAACAAAAATTGAATTTTTATGTAGCTTAGAAACAAGTCCAATAAAGAAAACTGATCATTCTTGGTCAATTCGAAAAATATGAGCGTTAAGGGGTTAAATTAGCTGAACTTTTGATATGATGTATAGTAGTTCATGATGTCTTGATGAAAAGTTCCACTGGGCCTAAGCCCGTAAATTGAGCAGTTTCCGAGATACGGGGGATCAAAAGTCAATAATAACTACGCCTTATTCTAGACTACCACGTTTGAGCATATTTGAGTGTAAAAAGCACTGTTGTACACTGTCCATTTATTTGACCCCTTAAAACTCAAAAGTAGTACTGTGGGCCCTTAAATATTACCCCTTGACCCCCTGACCTTCTGCTGCAAAAAGATGATGACGATGAATTACAGATTGACACTTCGTTGGTAGATAACAGCCTTAAAAGGCTAAAAGTTTATTCACGATTTCGGAATTGTACCAAACATCAAGTTCTTATTTCTCACATTCCCGAAAATGAACCGGAAACAAAAGAAGAAGTAATAAACGGTTACTACTGCGTCTGTCAATCTGGTGCCAAAACAATGGGTACATGCGCACATATTGCATGTGTTTTAAGGTTTTTAGGATTTTCTCGTCATCAAAGGCATGCCAAATATTCGGATGACAATCTTCTAAATACGACCAGAGATGCTGCTAATAGAGACCATCAAGACAATATGAATGTTGAGATTCTTATGGTCGAATAGAGAGAACTATAAAAACGGCCCTTTTCAGGGCCATATGGTGTGCAAAATCCGATCGAGCAACCTCTTCGTGGTGAACACTGGGTAATGCTAATGTCGACGGTGCATCATGCTTGTACATTGAAAAAGAGAACCATTTTGTACCTTTTTGGCGTTTTTTTATTTTGACTCCTGAAGTGGAGTCAAAGGGTTAGGGGGTCAAGGGGTAATATTTAAGGGCCCACTGTACTACTATTGAGTTTTAAGGGGTCAACTAAATGGACAGTGTACAACAGTGCTTCTTACACTCAAATATGCTCAAACGTGGTAGTCTGGAATAAGGCGTACTATTATTGACTTTTGATCCCCCGTATCCCGGAAACTGCTCAATTTACGGTTTTAAGCCCATTGAAACTTTTCATAAAGACATAATGAACTACATCATATCAAAAGTTCAGCTAATTTAACCGGGGGCCATTTTCCATAAGATCTGTGCGGGGTCCTTTCACAATCTGCTATTTCTCATTAAATTCTTTCGAGGGACCAAGAAGATATGCTTCTCATACTCGTAACCGTCGTTCGTAAATATGGGGACACTTGGATTATTGCAACTCCAATAAGTCGTCCAATCTTCTTTATTTTGAAGAACCGTCTACTTTCATATTCGCGAGGAGATTCTCTTGGACTGAATTACGAGGAACCGAGCTGGATTTTACTGTAAAAAAATGTTTCAAATCCGGATGGACCCTAAAAGTTGAGAGACGTTCGTACCCGTCGAAGACTACCATGAATTTAAAGGTTGCTCTTCGTTTTTACGCGGGTAAATAATTTCTGAAACTTTGAAAAGCTCGCTGAATTATCGAACTGTTGAGTAATTTTCTTTGTTATTCGAGATGGTAGCGTTTGAAATTGCGAGTATTGCGTGGCGGAGCACGAAAGGCTCCACTGGAGAGGTTTTCGCGCGAAATCAAGATGCTCGACTCGATCCTCGATGCTCGTAATGTGGTTTCCGTCGAAGAAACCACCGAACTGTTTTAGAGAGTGGCATAACATTTGCAAAATAAACCGGATCCGAGGGAACGCAGCAACCAATTTGTATCATAAGGGAACAAAACAGAAGTATCAAAGATTTAATATTTTGATGATTTATGAGATAGAAATACTGCATTACTGTCAACCATTTTGGAACAAAAGCGATCCTATAGTAATCTTGTAATTTATTTCGTATATCAACATTAAGCTTATTACTGTTACTAATTAAATAGTTTTACAGCTTCTCATAACCAATAGGACAGTGTATATAAATTTTGCGTATTTACATTATTTTTTGAGAAATTTTTCGAAGGTGATCTTCAATTTTTTAAATGAAAATGTGTTTAACACTAGGTTTGCGGAATACGTCAATTTGACGCATTAAGATTCTAAACCTAACGTTACAGAACTCATAAATATTATTTGTTAACAATTTATGCTGGATTTAATTGATGTAATGATATGAATATACACTCTAATTAAAAGAAAAATTGCATTTTAATGTAACTGTTAACACAGCGAATTACAATAGAAATATGCGCAACGAGTGTCCGTAAACGTAGTGTTAAAAGAATTCATTGTATGATGATAGGAAGAAATGTCAAAATATTAACCAGTAACCAGTTAGTAACCAGTCTAAAAATATTTTTCGGTCACGTTGTGTTTCGAAAACTTCGCTCCAGATTCTACTTTTCAGATTATCATCCTCAACCTAAGCACCAAACAACGTTTCTGTTAATTATTTTTTCCCCTCATACAGAAATTTAGGATAACTGCTATTTTTGGTCTCTGATTGAAGGTTTTACCTTGATCGTTTTCGGTGGGCGTACGCGTGGCAAGACGACGAAGTCTTCTCGGGGAGTTGCAAGATGCACCAGGCGATTGCTTGCAGCTCGAACCGCTCGACGTGCCCGGCGACAGCTTTCGAACCGCCAGATCGCACAGCATGTCTACGGCTTCTTGCCTGTAAAACGATTTTTAAATCTCCTTCATCGACCCGGATGCTTAAAAAGAGATATTCCCTAGAAAATTAATCGAAACGTTCATCATCATCGACGCAGAAAAACAAAAGCTCTACGGACGAAACAATTACCGAAAGTAATCCACTATAAATTCAGAGCTTGAAAAATTGCTCCAGGTTTATCCTGCCCCGTCGTGAACGGCGTGGCGAAAGAAAATATAGGGCGAACCGGAAGCAAGGATCGCAGGGTAGTAAATCAGGCGAGAGTTCTTGCAATTTGAAAGTTTCAATCGTATGGGGTCCGCATGAATTATGCAGTCGGGAATTTGTTTTTCTGTTCGATCGTGAAAAGGGGGCTTAATTACAAGGAAAAGTTTACCTCAAACTTGTTCGCGGTGGACGGAGAGGGTGATCGGGCTCGGTGGGCGAAAGGGCGGAGACGGGGGTCTGCGCCAGATCCCTATATAGCCGTAGTCTCACCGTTGGTCCACATTGTCGCAGCAATTGGACAGCCTCTTCGTGGCTCATGGGCGACAACGGTGCACCGTCGACGGCGACTATTTTGTCCCCAGGTCGGATCCTCCCGTCGCTTAATGCCGGCTCTCGCACTAATGCCCTTACGTAATGACCCAGTGCGCTGCTGTCCGCTTTCCTCAAAGTGAAACCCAGACTACCACCGACCTTCGTCATTTCTATGTCGAATTCCTGCGAGAGATTGCGAAAGCGTTTCGTTTAATCGACAACGCGTTCTCCAATGTTTCCGCTCCTTTTTCTCTATTTTATTTTCACGCCCGGCACACGCGCCCCGCTTAAAGGGGCGAAACCACTGTGACGGATTGGGAAAATCGACATTTCTTTATCTCTTGGGATTTTAAGAATGAAAAATTAGTTGATGCAGAGAATGTAATACGTGTAACGCTTGAAACTAACTGCTCTTTACTTCGGGACATTCGTTTGAAACTCTTTCATTATTTCTGCGGTGGTAAAGATTTTATATGAATGGGAAGTGTTTTCATCGAGATAGCTATGCGAATCAAGAATATTTAACACTAAACCTACCGGTACTTAATGTATACCCATTTCTACCATGACCGGTTAAACGACCAGTCTTTCTTTTCCTCTTTTACGAGGTAACGTACTTCTAATTTTTCCATTATATGTATAGAAAGTTGTGCTTTTAAGTTTATTCGTAAGATATCCTCTCTTATGTTGTATATTTTTTCTTAAAGCATTGAATTCTAAGAACTTGTACAAAAATATTCAATACTTCTACTCCAAATGTGCATTAGTACTTTAGTAGTATTAGTATATTAGTAATTTTCTTTCAAGTCGATACCGTAGCTAATTCCAGAGAAAACAATTATTTACGAAAAAATGACACAGTAATTATGCAAACACTCTGTATACAAATTTAAATAAACAATTTATGATCCAGTTTTATCGCACACCAGTTATATGTATAATCAATAGGAATTGTTGAAACTTTTTTAAGGTATATAGCGTCAAAGTAAATTTCAAAATAAGCATAGAAGATAGCAAAAAATATAGTAGCTGGTATAGTCATTGAATAGGGGATGAAATGCCCTTTAAAATGAGTGTTCATTCAAGTCGATAGCGTAATTAGTTCTGGAGATATGACGATTTTAGTTTCAAGTCGATGTGATGGCTAGTTCCGGAGATATGAGGGTCCGAAGTGTTTGTTTACTTTTTTACTACGGCCTTGTAAAGGTCGTTGACCGCACGTGCTCGTAGTAAACAGTAAGCATTACGTCACTGGGTCACTCGGTTAGTGGGTCAGTGGGAGAAATTACCTTTTACATAAATTACGATATCTCGAAAACGGGAAGTCGGATCGACAAAAACCAAAAGCCATTTTAAAGGGGAGGCTTTGCCGCTTCTAACAGTGGTCCAATAATGGGGGAAACACTAGTAGTTTCGGAACTGTAAGCGTCTAAAGTTTTAGTATTTTTACATCGGAAGCTAACCAGAATTTGGTACCGAATTTTGCTCAGTTTTTACAAAATATATTTCCATGGCATGATTTCTTGTTTCACAACTTACAGTGGAAAATTACACGCCCGTTTCTAACAAATTTTTGGAGGTCTCTCGCGCTGGTTCCTATTATAGCTGTAATAATTAATATCTTTAGACGAAACTTTTACAAGAAGTAGTTCAAGAAATATACTTTCGAAAACATTAAACATTTATTAGAAAAAGTATCATAGTTGCGTCCAAAAAATTCTTGAAAATTGCCTTTATTTTCAGTCGTCACAGTGGTCTTTCCCCTTAGAAGGGAATTATGTGGTAATATGGACGCTACAATGATTCATAAAATGAACATCACTCTGGGGGTTAGGTATGTTCATCTTTCGTACAGCATTGTCTCTCAAACTTTCCTTAGACTTCAAGGAGCATCCCCCAAGTTGGAAAGGATAGACGTGTTCAATTTACGAAACACGTTCATTTTAAGAACCATTACTGTACGCTGTGCTGCATAATTATTGCACTAACCACATTTTCAAAAGATTCACCATCTTCTAAACGTAGTGAAAATGCAACGTAATGCAAAAATACTTTGAAAACTATACCAAAAAATATACTAAATAAATATAATAAAGAGACGAAGAGATGCAATTCTGTTGCAAATTGACAATAAGTTAAATAGAAGGAGAAAGTTGATTTATTAGTCCCCTTTCTATAGATTTAACCCTTTCATGATTTTTATACAAATATTTGTTTATTTGGAACGATTTTCCAATTTCCCGATGTTCATTCTGCATCGTATTCAAGAATAACTTGTACGACGCGTAGGAACACAGGGGATTTGTTGGAAATACATCAGAAACTATGTACTCGCTAGGATATGCCGAAATCTAAATTTTAAACGAACTTGGATCGAATTCCGTATTCCTCGCGGGAGTTTCTAGATGTAACAGATAGTATATTCATTGATCATTGTTTTATGAATACTAGTTATACCGTTGGGTTTGCTCGGCGGGAGCTAAAGGGAATTGAAAGGCATGTATTTTCATTCACGGTAGTCAATGCACGTTTGGCGGTTACCGTATGCGCATATTTCCTTTCACATTTTTGTTTTTAACCGACCGGGAACATCCATACTGGGAATACCGTTTGCGCTTTTGTGCTTCGCCCGAGGAAAAATTTCGAGTTCGCGTTTACTTTCACGATGCCGGTTCGAATAAATTAAATCTTTACTAATGGTAACAAATTGTTTTTCGAAATAGTTGTTCAACACTCGATTGTAATCTGATAAAATTAAATTTTTAAAAAATCAGACTAAAACAGAAAAGAAAATTTATCAAAAATAAGAATTCTCGTGTTCTGTCGTTTAAAGAATTGATCGAAAAAAATTTGATAATGGTATCTATGGCGGTTCCGATACTATTTTATAGTTCCAGAGAGTTGATTAAACAAAAACACAGACGCAAACGACTTTTCCAAAACGGCGGTCGCATTTAATTAAATTTTATCCTTATCGAGTATCTCGTGCCAGTAGCAAACTGTGCTATCAGCTTTCCTGTTAGTGCCCATAATAGTAGTGCCTTGTCGGTCGTAACGCCACCCTATCTCAATTTCAATCTTTCGATTAGCGGCCAAGGGGGTGGAAAATGGAGGAATTCAGCGAATCAGTGATCCAGGAAATTCGGGTATCTAGCGGATCGCAACAAGGAAGGATCCCTGATAAGAGTTACTTACGCCGCAGGGTTCGATTTGAAGCGGCGGCAAGGGGTTGAGTATTCGCAAGGGCGGCGGTGGCTCACGCCTTGCAGGGGGTGGCGGCGGTGCACCGGGTGGTGTGACATTCGTATCGCCCGGAAGTCGACACACCACCAACTCCACGGTACTGCGTGTCGTTCGTAGAACTTCGAGGGCCTCCTGCAACAAGTTGCATCCGAACGAGATTAAAAATCTGCTCGATTATGGCGACTTTCCAACATGACAAATTGAAAATATATTAATATATGGGAAATAATAAGGAGGTAGCTCCACTTTATTATACAATTTTTCTCATATACATCCTATTTCATTAAAAATCTGATCTTCCACTTGGTGGGGTAAATAATAATTACATTACCTTTTTACAGCTATTAAGAAAAGTACCAATAGAAATAAAAATATTTACAAAATTTGATTCATTAATTCAGTATCGAATATACTATACATCCTATTTTGTTAACAAAAATCTGATCTTCCACTTGGGGTAAATAAGAATTACATTACCTTTTTACAGCAAATAAGAAAAGTACCAATAGTAATAAAAATATCGACAAAATTTGATTCATTAATTCAGTACCGAGTATACATCTTATTTCATTAACAAAAATCTAATCTTCCACTTGGAGTGAATAAGAATTACATTACCTTTTTACAGCAAATAAGAAAAGTACCAATATAAATAAAAATATCAACAAAATTTAATTCATTAATTCAGCACCGAATATTGTGAAACAATTTGGGATATTTTAACTAATTTTTGTATCAGAGACAACTGATGTTTAATATCTTTTTTAGTCTCAGAGTGAATTTTAATTTTCTAATTTTTTGTAATCTTCAAGTTATTAACCATGTTTGGTTAAAAACGAATTTTCAAATCTCCTCTTGCACTGGAATAACTTGTGCATTATTCATAGAAAAATTTAATATTGTAATGAGACATTAAAAATATAATCTAGATCCTTTACCAAAGTTGGCCGGGATGATGTTTCACCAAATATTTTTTTAAACGAGTTTATCATCTTTCGTTTCGTCTTTACACGGAACAGAACGAATAATAAAGCAGGTACGACAAGTAACCTGGAGATTTCCATAACGACGTTCTATGTATAGCAAGTTCGTAACCCGTTAGAAAGGACACCGCACAGATCTTATGGAAAATGGCCCCCGGTTAAATTCGCTGAACTTTTGATATGATGTAGTTCATTATGTCTTAATGAAAAGTTCTGTGGCGGCCAAGGCACCACATACGCCTTAGCCGTTCGAAGCCGCTACAATGTATGGTTGCACACGAGACGATGGTTGCACACGAGACGACCAGAGCCGCGTGAGCCGAAAAGCCGTTGTCGTCGTCTCTGACCGTCTTTTGTTTTTGAAGGCCTCTTGGTACGGTGGCGATGATCGTACCAGAGAGTCGAGCGTAACCCGCACCACGAGTCACGTCGTTGTACGACAGCAACAATACAATTGTGCGGAACGGAACAGAGCGGAGTCATTATCTTCCCGATCCCACAGTTCCAATGGGCCCAAGCTCGTAAATTGAACAGTTTCCGAGATACGGGGGATCAAAAGTCAATAATAGTGCGCCTTATACTAGACTACCACGTTTGAGCATATTTGAGTGTAAGAAACACTGTTGTACATTGTCCATTTATTTGACCCCTTAAAACTCAATAGTAGTACTGTGGGCCCTTAAATAGTACCCCTTGACCCTCTGACTCTCTGACTCCCCTTCAGGAGTCAAAATAAAAAAACCACAAAAAGGTAAAAAAAGGTTCTCTTTTTCAATGTACAAACATGAAGCACCGTCGACATTAGCATTACCCAGTGTGCAACACGAAGAGGTTGCTCGAACGGATTTTGCACACTATGTGGCCCTGAAAAGGTCCGTTTTTATAGTTCTCTCTATTCGACCATAAGAATCTCAACATTCATATTGTCTTAATGGTCTCTATTAGTGGCATCTCAGGTCGTATTTAGAAGATTGTCATCCGAATATTTGGCATGCCTTTGACGACGAGAAAATCCTAAAAATCTTAAAACACATGCAATATGTGCGCATGTACCCATTGTTTTGGCACCAGATTGACAGACGCAGTAGTAATCGTTTATTACTTCTTCTTTTGTTTCCAGTTCATTTTCGGGAATGTGAGAAATAAGAACTTGATGTTTGGTACAATTCCGAAATTGTGAATAAACTTTTAGCCTTTTAAGGCTGTTATCTACCAACGAAGTGTCAATTTGTAATTCATCGTCATCATCTTTTTGCAGCAGAGGGTTAGGCGGTCAAGGGGTAATATTTATGGGCCCACAGTACTACTATTGAGTTTTAAGAGATCAAATAAATGGACAGTGTACAACAGTGCTTTTTACACTCAAATATGCTCAAACGTGGTAGTCTAGAATAAGGCGCAGTTATTATTGACTTTTGATCCCCCGTATCTCGGAAACTGCTCAATTTACGGGCTTAGGCCCAGTGGAACTTTTCATCAAGACATCATGAACTACTATACATCATATCAAAAGTTCAGCTAATTTAACCCCTTAACGCTCATATTTTTCGAATTGACCAAGAATGATCAGTTTTCTTTATTGGACTTGTTTCTAAGCTACATAAAAATTCAATTTTTGTTAATTACAATGTTGTATCTAGCGTATAACTTGAAGGAAAACAAATATTGTCATCCCTTAAACCATCAAATTAAACAAATATCGTTTTACAAAACAGTCAGACTCGGGCATGAGCGTTAAGGGGTTAACCGGGGGCCATTTTCCACAAGATATGTGCGGGGTCCTTTACCGATACCGTTGATGCAATCTGTACCCGTGTCTTGTATCTCTCGCATCACAATTTATTTACACAATTCAATTCGTAATAGAGTTACCGAATTTATGCATAAAATTTTCGACCTAACCGCCGACGTGTTATCCCCGTGGAATGAAGTACTGCGTGCACAATATAAACTGATATTACACCTTGATTCCTGGGGGACGAACGGTGCAACTATACGCAAGACAGCGTCTATCTACTCTACGAGTTCCGGATGTAGCTGCATTATGCTAATGAAATGCAAATCTCTAAGAGCTACGAGAAGACAAGCCTGTAGGATCCATTCGAAGCTATAGTAATCGCTATTTTGTCGCAGCCAGCTCATCGCGTTAAGCTGGGTGGACAGAAATGAGGGAAAACGGTCTCAACAGGGGGGGAACAAAACCCACTCTCGTGTGTAAATGTGCACCGATTCTCAAACCTCAACATTAAACATTTTTTATCGCCGATAAAACGATACTGATTCGATCTTGATCAACATCCACCGACTAAGAAAATTTTAAGCAAATCATTCGTGGACAAACTATGTAAGAAAATGATGACATCACAGATTTTTCCCCTGAGGAACACTTAAAGGGAAAGATCTATGCAAATCTGTGTACCACTTCTTATAGAAGAAATTGTTTTATCACTTGATAAACAATCGACAAACTTTTGATATCGATTCCTCATTAAGTAATTCGTTAATCAAGGATTATTAAAATTTTTGGTGAATTTTTGCTTTGTGGTAAATGGATATAAAGATGAATGTGATATGATATAATTTATGCTGACAGGTACCATTTGTCTAACCGTGTTAACTATAGTAAATATTACCGTTACGTTCAAGACACTTACATAATTGGTGAGGCCGGTTAAAGGAGTCCCATTGGCAGCGAGGAGTATATCGCCAGGTTGTAATTTGTTGGATAAAGCCGCGGGTTGTTGAGGAAACAGTCTTTTTACCCTAACAGGTCCGGCAGTTCCTCCGCCGGAAACGCTTAAGCCGAGACCCCGGCTGCTTTTCTGCAACGTTACGCGAAACGTGCTCTCTGGAATTCATACAAAGAACATACTTTAGTTTCAACGGGACTTCTTGGGAAACGGGGAATTTCGTTCGCTACTTTTGAAGGGAAACTTCAGAAAATTCAAGGGACGCCCAAGTTGTAATTACACTTCGTCGACGCGAACAATTATTTTACACTTTTCCCCAAAAATGTGCACCTTAAAATGTGCATCTTAAAACAGTTTCCAAAGTGCATTTACTTTGATTCACAAACGGATTACCGTTCGATCAAACTGTACGTTTTATTTTTCGATTTGATGCAAAATTTCTAGCGATTAAAAGTTTTAAAGGAATTAAGATTCCCTTGATTATTCTGACGCTACTGTTTTTAAATCGTACGATTCGATTCCGTTCGTCTATTTACGTCGACCAGATTCGAGAAGTGGAAGAAGAGGATGTTTGTTTAGACTATGCAATTACGGTGCTGTTGGGTAAATGTTTAGAACCGTTAAAAGTAAGCTCTACGAATGCACGTTTTCTTTTTTTCTCGTCGCGTTGATTTCCCAAAATTGTAGCCAGCTTGTAATTTACGATGCCTGCTGGTGTGACGCATGACCTAATAGTCGGAATTGGGATAGGACGCGAACAATTACTTTATACCCAGCTATTCTATGCAGTGTCGCTGCACCGGCTGCATATTTCAGTTGTTACAGCAACTTTCACGGTGCACAACGTCATCCTGTTGGTCATAATTTTAGGCGGTTCCGCGATGCAAAAGTGTACTTTAAAAACACAACGCGGGTAACGAAAATATCACGCGAACGCCACGATATTAAATAACTATAATTTACCCCTGAACACTGTTTACCAAGAAATGCTTTAAAAATCATTCTTTATTTTTACGATCAAGCTACTTTCAAATAGGCTTGGCATTAAAATTGAACGTCGAGTTACTTTTCATCGTTGCATGGCGAACACGAGACGCCCGAGAAACGCGCCCGGACAGAAATACCGAAAACGTAAAAATAGCGGAAATCGGAAGTTTATCGCGAGCTAAGAATTTATGAACGTACATGAGTTCGTTTCTGCGAATACATCTGGACAGCGTCCAGAAAAATGTTGAAAAGTACTGTTTATTTGCCGACCGCTGAATATTTTTAAACGTATGCGTCACATTTCGAGCAAGAAACGACCCGAATGTAATTTGGATACGTTTCCTATTGCACGATAATTTGTGCACCATTTGATAGTAAAATTAAAAAATATTCGTTTCCATCACGTTCACTGTCCGAACTCTCAGCAGTGTATACAATAGCGCAATGCTATGCCCCATATATGGATCACGGAGTGTGAACGTGCTAGTACTACTTAAAGCTTTTTTAATTTAAACATAAAAACTACTTAAAGTAATCTCTTATAATGTAAAAACCGAATGTAATTTAGATACGTTTCCTATTGCACGATAATTTCTGCATTATTTAGTAGTAAAAATAAAAAATATTTATTTCCATCACATTCACTGTCCGAACTCTCAGCAGTCCATACAATAGCGCAACGCTATGCCCCATATATGGATCACGGACTGTGAATGTGCCAGTACTACTTAAACAAAGCAATCTTTTTCAATTTAAACATAAAAACCATTCAAAATAATCTATTATAATGTAGAAACCAAATGGAATTTAGATACGTTTTCTATTGCATGGTAATTTCTGCACCATTTAATAGTAAAATTAAGAAATATTCGTTTCCATCACGTTCACTGTCCGAACTCTCAGCAGTCCATACAATAGCTCAATGCTATGCCCCATATACGGATCACTGACTGTGAACGTGCTAGTACTACTTAAACAAAGCAAGCTTTTTTAATTTAAACATAAAAACCACATAAAGTAATCTATTATAATGTAAAAACCGAATGTAATTTGGATAGGTTTCCTATTGCACGATAATTTCTGCATTATTCAGTAGTAAAAATAAAAAATATTTATTTCCATCACATTCACTGTCCGAACTTTCAGCAGTCCATAAAATAGCGCAACGCTATGCCCCATATATGGATCACGGACTGTGAATGTGCCAGTACTACTTAAACAAAGCAATCTTTTTCAATTTAAACATAAAAACCATTCAAAATAATCTATTATAATGTAGAAACCAAATGGAATTTAGATACGTTTTCTATTGGATGGTAATTTGTGCACCATTTAATAGTAAAATTAAGAAATATTCGTTTCCATCACGTTCACTGTCCGAACTCTCAGCAGTCCATACAATAGCTCAATGCTATGCCCCATATACGGATCACTGACTGTGAACGTGCTAGTACTACTTAAACAAAGCAAGCTTTTTTAATTTAAACATAAAAACCACATAAAGTAATCTATTATAATGTAAAAACCGAATGTAATTTGGATACGCTTCCTATTGCACGATAATTTCTGCATTATTTAGTAGTAAAATTAAAAAATATTCGTTTCCATCACATTCACTGTCCGAACTCTCAGCAGTCCATACAATAGCGCAACGCTATGCCCCATATATGGATCACGGACTGTGAACGTGCTAGTACTACTTAAAGCTTTTTTAATTTAAACATAAAATTTACTTAAAGTAATCTGTTATAATGTAAAAATCGAATGTAATTTAGATACGTCTCCTATTGCATGATAATTTTTACATCATTTAGTAGTAAAAATAAAAAATATTTATTTCCATCACATTCACTGTCCGAACTCTCAGCAGTCCATACAATAGCTCAATGCTATGCCCCATATACGGATCACTGACTGTGAACGTGCTAGTACTACTTAAACAAAGCAATCTTTTTCAATTTAAACATAAAAACCATTCAAAATAATCTATTATAATGTAGAAACCAAATGGAATTTAGATACGTTTCCTATTGCATGGTAATTTGTGCACCATTTAATAGTAAAATTAAAAAATATTCGTTTCCATCACGATCGCTGTCCGAACTCTCAGCCGTCTATACAATAACGCAACGCTATGCCCCATATATGGATCACGGACTGTGAATGTGCCAGTACTACTTAAACAAAGCAATCTTTTTCAATTTAAACATAAAAACCATTCAAAATAATCTATTATAATGTAGAAACCAAATGGAATTTAGATACGTTTCCTATTGCATGGTAATTTCTGCACCATTTAATAGTAAAATTAAGAAATATTCGTTTCCATCACGTTCACTGTCCGAACTCTCAGCAGTCTATACAATAGCTCAATTGTATGCCCCATATATGGATCACGGACTGTGAACGTGCTAGTACTACTTAAAGTTTCTTTAATTTAAACACATAAACCACTTAAAGTAATCTATTATAATTTAAAAACCGAATGTAATTTAGATACGTTTCCTATTGCACGATAATTTTTACATCATTTAGTAGTAAAAATAAAAAATATTTGTTTCCATCAAGTTCACTGTCCGAACTCTCAGCAGTCTATACAATAGCGCAATGCTATGACCCACATACGGATCACGGACTGTGAACGTGCTAGTACTACTTAAACAAAGCAAGCTTTTTGAATTTAAACATAAAAACCACTTAAAGTAATCTATTATAATGTAAAAATTGGTCGTAATAAAATAAAACAATTGTAAAGAATAATGATTTGAACTTAATTATAAGATGAAAGTCTGACTTAAATACAGTAATAAAAATTCTCGGTATTTTTCGATTCTTTGTAACGTTTACAACGGTCGGATAATTTTGTCAAATAACAAGCCTCCGTTCGTTTTCCACGATTACAATAACTTTCGCATAACTCTCGATCGAATCCCGCGAAAGCCAGACTAACACGATTGTTAAAATTGCCCACTGCTATTGCGGTGGCTGCAATTGGAGCTCGTTCTCTTTGTTTACGCGATGGTGGACTTAGCATTGAACGAGCACCAGCTCGAAATGACTCGCCTTTTACCGGATATTGACCCGATCCGGACGACATATCGTGCGTATTGTTCACTTTGTTCGCTATTCAAATCGATCCCTCTCCTTGCCACGTTATTGTCCAGGATCGTACAGTGTCGATCTTTCCAAAAGAGTCGACCATTGTTGGAATTGTTTCGAAATCGTGGATTTCCTGAACGGGCACGCTGATCGTTCCCTAAACGCTCCGCGGGGTTTAAGAATCGATATCGATGCGAATTACGACCACCGTCGGTCATCGCCTGTGGTCAACCACCTGGAATTAACGAAAATTTGAACGAGAGATATGTGGTCCACATAAATTCCTGGGAAGGATATTTGGAATCTACGTCCGATCGTTCTCTTGCCCACCACGTTCGAATCGTTCTACGGTTTCCCTTTGAAAAGGAATTCGATCGTACGAAATAAAAATAATTCTTACTGAGTTTTCCAAAAGTTCCATTCGAAAATTTGAACAATTAAAAACTAATAAATTCCTTAAGCTAATAAAATCAAAACATTTTAACCCCGTATCAAATCAATCAAATCTAACTTCTTCCAAAAATCCATCCCCTGTTCCCTATTCAGATTGGATCAAGTGAAAATTTCTCGAATCATAATAGGCCATACTAAACTGACCCACCAATACCTCCTCGACAAAGAAGACCCCCCAATATGCGAACTGTGCAACGATCACCTTACAGCAGTCATGTCATCAGCCACTGCAGGAAATACGCCGCAAACAGACTGCGATTCAACATTAAACCATCCCTAAAGGACAACCTGAAGGATGACAAATCTATCCAAAACTTGCTGAAGTACTTCAAAGAGTCCAACCTATATAACTAGTTGTAAACTTTCCCTGAGTTGCTAATAACCCATAAGCGGTTGATGTTACTATAAATAAATACATTATATTGTGATAATTCCCAGGTATTCGTAAACCAAATCTGTTCCTTGTTACGAGCATTGCACGTACGAAGAAATTTAAACAAAATTAAATAATATACGTTTGAAAAATGACTTGTAATTAACCCATCTGCAACATCATGAAACAAATTTGTTCTTTTTTACGAGCACTGCAGAGGAAATGTAAACAAAATTAAATACGTTC